GACAGTTGTATAAAAATCTTAAGAGACTTAAACCAACCACAAGGTGGTGAAGCAAATGAAATGTCATATGACGACAAATATAGACATTTCTCCATGGCAAAGATGAGACAAGTTTTAAATATTTACAATAACCGTAAACAAAAAGGTTTGGGAAACCACTCCCCCGAAGAAATGAAAAACAACCCTGACTTAGAGAAAGACTATATATTTAATAGTTTAGTCAAAAGAGACAAACAAGAAAGAATGCCGGGCTTCAAACTTAAGAAAGGTGACAAAGTAAAAATAGAAATACCTAAACGCGACCCATATGAAAATACTATTGACTATGACAACAATGGGAACTCGACAGGTACTCACATTCGTGTTCGTAAAAATAGAAGAAAGTATACAAGAGAATATTATGAAGTTTTAGGCAAACATGGCAAAATGTACACACTGCAAGCAGAAGATAAAACTACTATTGTCAGACCTCGTTTCAAACTTGTTAAGGTTCAAGGTGGTATACTTTCAAAGACAGTTCCTAACAAATATAAGACAACTCCTGACGAATATGCTAAAGAAGTTGAAAATGACGACTAAGCAATTCTATACCATGCGTAAACTGTCATGTAAGGTGGCATGTATTCTTTACTTTGTCCCGTTGTTTGCGTATACCCTGAAACGCGATGTGTATGGTTTCCTTCTCCCTGTGTGCTACCCAGAAACAATTTATAGCAAACTGAACGTTGTCTTTAACATCATATCCTTTACCTTTTTTCATTGCTGACCAATCCCAAAATCTATGCTTATGCCAACCTGCTTGAGATGTACTTAAATCTATGTAGTGACTATGCGCAGGTAAGTTTTCACCTGAAATCGTTTTACTTCCACCTGTTTCCTTTGAAGAGTTTGCACAATACAAAAACCTGTCGACTATTTGAGTCCAAGTTCCGAGACCAAGTACTACTTCTGGTCTGGTAGAGTTCATTGACGTGTAAATAGAACCTATAGGATATACTGTTTGAAGTATTTCTGTCTTTAATGTTTGAAGCTCTGTTTTGTCAGCTTTTTTATCATATAAATCTTGAGCAGTGAATTTAACTTTGTTTTCATCCTCCATGACATAGACATTTCCACATCTAATGTATTTCATCGTCGTTATGTCATCCTCCGATGTTAAACCTTGTGGAAAGTTAGGAGGTTTCCAATTTAATACATCCCCAGTTTCTTCAACCGTTCCTTCAATATTTTCTATACCAACAGTTGCGAAGAAATCGTGTGTATGTCCAACGTCACTTTTCTTGTTTAAGGTTTCTTGTAAGTTTGTAATATCAGATATGGTATGTGTATGAGTCTTTTTAGAATATTCTTTGTCAGCTCTTGTCACTTCACTTGACATTTTATTGTCAACATATGTTTTATCCGCTTTGTCATCTAACTTTTCTGGTAGTTCATCTACGTCATAGATGTTATGTGTATGATGTTTTTGTGGGTATGTTCTATCTGTCCATGCGAGAATATAGTCTCTTGTTGCATCTACATACTCTTTGTCAGCTTTGTTGTCAATATCTGCCTTCAAAAGAAGTTCATCTATAGGTTTCTCGTTTAAAGTTCTTTTTGTTGGATTTATACAAACAGTATGGTTCTTGTTGTCTTGAAACAGAAACTCATCTGTCATTGGGTTTAATGTCAGTTTTAAGTTTCCTTCTTTCAATGACTCAGATATCTTAGAATAGTTTGAAAAGTTTGTTGTGTTCTTATTTAGAGCTTGCAAAATGAGTTGTCGGTTGTGTTGTATTTCTCTCATAGACGCTGTTTCATTTGACATTTTTATTCTAGATAAAATATGCTTTCAATAGAAAAAGAAAATTCAAGAGTTGCTACAACTAAACCATTAGATGAACTTTTTACTAATGTCGGTCAAAAGTTTGAGACAGAGACCGTAAAGCATGAAGGCTATCGTTTTGACTACCCATTAAGATGGCTAAGAGACCCATCTGTCACAAAAGCTATTGGCTTTCGTAGAATGAAGTTTGTGTCTGTAGAAGATAAAAGTTTTCCATTTATTGTAAGGTTTCATATAGATTATATATCTGAAGGGAAACGAAAAATGTGGGAAGAAATTGAGCTAATACAAGTTGACCTTTCATCTTCTCTACAGACTGCGTTAAAAAATATAGAAGATAAAATAAATTCATGTTATGCAAAATATGCTGATGAATATGCAAATACCGAGAGCACACTTTATGTGAGAATTGTATATGACAAACAAAATTCACAAGTGTCATTTCAAATCTACGAAGACAATCCAAAGAAAGACGAACAAATATATACAGAATTCACTGCAATGTCATGGTATTATTTGCAAAGAATGTTAAATCAGAAAGTCGAACTTCCTTTAGCAAATATTTACAGTCGATATGCAAGAGATGAACCATATTTATTTAAAGATGTTTTCGACCCAGCTGCTATTATTGTTCATGCTTCATTTTCTGGCGCCCAAAACTCTTTCTTATGCTTGGCAAATGATTTTTACGAAAAACCTACAAAGTTATACGAACCACCAAGTGGAAGTATTTCAGACTTTCAAGTATGGTTTACTACAGATGGAAGAAAAAGAATAATTCCATTATACCATGTGTTTTACTTAGAACTTAGTTTCATATACAACTACTATCGAACGGTAAAAATATAATTTTTTAATATACCGGTTGTGGTGTTGGATTTGGTTGCCAACTTGACTGTGGTGCAGGTTCAGGCTGTTGTATAACAGGAGCTTGTTCTTCTGGTTCAGGGTCTTTAGGTATAATACCAACAAACTGACCTACCCTTTTACCAATATTTTTGACACCGTTCCAAATTCCTCTTCCTACGGTTTTTATTCCATTCCATATACCTCTTCCAACATTTCGAAAGAAGTTTCCTATCTTACTGAAGAAACCCATTTTACTATATGTAAAAATCTAATGTCCGCCTAGTCTCTTACGTTTCCTGTTGAGTTCCATAGCATTCTTTAACTGGAGCTCATACATTCTGTTTCTCCTCTGGTAGAAAACATATTCTGGGTCAACTCCTGTGTTCGCGTCATCTGCATAAAGTTGTTTATATCCCACTTCAGGGTTTGTATAAAACTCTTTCCATCTCATATTTGCATACCATGGTGGCAAACCTAACGCAGCGTCATTTGACATGGCAGTTTGCATTTGTACATCTGTTGGCACTTGACCATAGTTTGCCATTGCAGTTTGTATTCTAACTTCATTTGGAATATTCTCTGGGTTTGGTTGTCCGGGTTGCTGTGCATTCGCTAAGTTCTGTGCGTCCATTTAATATTAGATAAAAATATCTCTTACGAGTACATATGCTGAACATTTGCAGGCATTGGTTCATCTTCATATTCTCTATATCTTTCTGCCACGTCAAATAAATAAATGACACAATGGAAAAAACCTAAAACAAGTAGTCCTATTTCAAACCACATTTACTTACTAGTAAAATTTCTTTGTTATGACACTTTCTCCGGTTTATAGGACCTCTCTCATATTCTATCTTGTCATATAAAAACTCATAGTCATGTATGTCCTCTAACCATCTCATAACGGTTTCCAAACCACTTTTATCGGATGTAAAGTAAAAGCATGGATGGTTATGTAAAACGTCTAAAGTTTCTAAAGAGTCTCTCAAAGTCCAGTCTACTTGGTATTGAAAATCCCATGTGTTATAGAACGGCGGGTCCACTATAAAGAAAACATTTTCCTTGTCTTTATATTTTTCATACAAATCTGTCCAATGACATCTCACAAACTCTATACCCTCAATATATTTTTCTATGTCCTCTTTGAAAACATTTGTATAGTTAAGATATAAAACTTTTGACATAAGTGTTTCAATGTCATGAACTCTTATAGCACCACTATATAATAGTCTAGCAGATATACTATCCCAGTCTATATATTCTGCTTTTTTCAAAACCTCTCTCACAATATTTTTGTTATCTAATGGTATACGTTCCATCTTACCTATAGGTATCTTTTCTTTTAACTCTTTCAATATATTGTTTGTGTCTGGTATATGTTTGAGACGGTCCATATAGTTGTCGAAGTCATTGCATATAATCTTTGAGTCTGGGAATATTGTATGACATAAATGGGATATATAGAAACTTCCACCGAACAAATCTACAAATGTTAGACCATTCGGTAGTTTCTTAAGTTCTCTCAATATAATATCTTTACATCTACTCTTATTTCCAAAGAACGGTAACGGTGGTTTTGTAAAATTCATTTATATATAATAATAAAAATGTTTTTACCCGAAAAGTGACAGAAAAGTGACAAAACATGAAAACATATATAATTTGTGAAAAGCTCCTGGAAGCCCTCCGAATAAAAACTTCATTTATACTAAACATCTTCAGGGCTAGAGGGCACGAAGTGCCTGGAAGCCCCACTACCTTTTTTTTTTTTTTTTTTTTTTTTTTTTCGAGTAATAAGATATAAAACATAAAGGAAAATTATATGTTTAAATTTTGAATAAGGAAGATCAATATCATATATTTATGGAGAAAATAAGATCTTCAAAATCTCTCATTAAATATTACTTCACTATTAATCAAAGGAATTAGAGAAGGTTGAAAATTCTTTATCAAAAATTTAGAGGGTCATAATTTACAAAAATGGAAATTCTCAGACATACGATTATTTTTTGATTCAAATGCTGTTCGGCATTAAAAGCAAAAATAATCATATACCTGAGAATTACACTTTTCCGACATTTTTGGGTCGCTTCGCGCCCCTGACAAAACGTCGGAAAAGTGTAAATTTAGTGTAATTATGCTTAATTCTAACATTCTAAACAGGGTATGTTTTTTTTAAATATAAAATCGAAGAAATTTGTGAAAATCCGAAGTGAATATATAAGTATCAAATACAAAGGGAAGTATTATTTGTGGCATAAGTAATACTTTAGTTTAAAATGCTTTTATAAAGAATTAAATTATTCGTCTTGAATTCTTGATAATTTTAGTTATTTCCAATAGATTTGAGATATTGAACAACATCATCATGATTTTCTTCTGACGCACAAATAAGTGGAGTTTTTCCATCATTATTCTTTACTTTTTTATTACATCCAACAGAAATAAGATATTTAACAACTTCAAGTTCACCCCATTTTGATGCATCAATGAGTGGCGTATCTCCATCATTATTCTTTACATCTTTATTACATCCAATAGAAATAAGATATTTAACAACCTCAAGATGACCTCTCCATGCTGGTCCAAAGAGTGGCGTATTTCCATAATTACTCTTTGCATCTTTATCACATCCAATAGAAATAAGATATTTAACAACTGCAAGATGACCTTCGTTTGATGCAAAATGCAGTGGAGTCCATCCATCTTTATCCTTTCCTTCTTTATCGCATCCAATAGAAATAAGATATTTAACAACTTCAAGATGACCATTTTCTGATGCATATATGAGCGGAGTCCATCCACAATTAATACCTGCTTCTTTATCGCATCCAACAGTAATAAGATATTTAACAACTTCAAGATGACCACCTCCTGATGCACAAATGAGTGGAGTCCATCCAACATAATTCTTTGCTTCCTTATCACATCCAACAGAAATAAGATATTTAACAACTGCAAGATGACCTTCGTTTGATGCAAAATGCAGTGGAGTCCATCCAACATAATTCTTTGCTTCCTTATCACATCCAACAGAAATAAGATATTTAACAACTGCAAGATGGCCATAGTCTGATGCATAAATAAGCGGAGTATAACCATCTTTATTCTTTCCTTCCTTATCACATCCAATAGAAATAAGATATTTAACAACTGCAAGATGGCCATTTTCTGATGCATAAATAAGCGGAGTATAACCATCTTTATTCTTTCCTTCCTTATCACATCCAACAGAAATAAGATATTTAACAACTTCAAGATGACCTTCTCTTAATGCAAAAATGAGTGGAGTATAATCATCTTTATTCTTTACTTCCTTATCACATCCATTTTCAATGAGGGATTTAACAAGTCCGAGATTTCCTTTATAACATGCTTGATGAAGTACATTTCCATAAGGGTATTCTTTTGAATATTTTTCACAAAGTCCTTTTTGACATGCTATTGAAATAATATTTTGTCTTCCTTTCTTTGAAATTTCATCCAAGAGATTGTAAATCATGCGAAAATCAGAAGAATTCTTAAGTTTTTCGATTCTTAATAAAAATTTTTCATCTTCAATTATTTGATTTCTTTGGTTTTCTTTTTCTTTGAGTTGATTTTTAAGTGATTGTATCTCTTCTTCTTTTGCTTTGCTTTGATTTTTAAGCGATTGTATCTCTTTTTCAATGTTTTGTTTTGGATTATTAGTTGTATTTAGAAGATCTTCAGATTTCTTTGTAGAATTTTGCAATTTTTTATCAAATTGAGTTAAAAAGTCAATAATTCCATCAAACATTTTGAGTTTCATGTATTTTTTAACTGATTTAAGGACTGATATGACTTCATCGAAATTTTTAATGGAAATATTTGTACTACGAGTACACGAATATAATTTGTTTGCTTTGATTGAATAATTTGACTGTTGAAGAAGAGTAATGAAATCGTCTGCAGTTAAATGTGAAAATTTCAAGATTTTTTTGATATCTTGTGTTTCGAAGATGTCAAATAGCTTATTGTCGTTAAGATAATCTTTAATGTGCAACGCAATATCCTCAAAATTCAGATGGAGTTCTTGAGCTATTTGGCGCTTTTTGTCACTTTTTATAAAAATTTGTAATTTCCAAACTCGATTTTAAAAATTGTTTTAGAATGCTGATATAATGTACAATTTATTTGACCAATCAAATTTTAAAAAAGTTTTAGACTTCAAGCTCGCAACACCTGTTATAACACATTGGTGCAATACGTTAATTTATTTAACCTCTAAATCCAAAAAATTCAAAGAGATCACATTACAGTCTTGTAATTTTTTGAGCATTTCAAAGATGATATAGATGCGGACTCCCAAAATTACAAATGGATATTGACATTTAACACTAGAGAACAGATTCAATAGATTTATCAAATACAATTGAGGTAGCAATACAGTGGAGGACAATTTTGTTTATTTTTAAACCATGATCAAGCTAATTATGAACATACACTATTCAGTTCTTAATTTTTTGCTTGAAAAATTGAGAAAATAATTTTTTTCTAAAAAATTATCATGAATTATAAACAAAATTAATATCTTTATTCATGAAACAAGTTTTATTTCTTCTGAGCTCTAACTTTATAGTTCTGCGTCTTGAGATAATCTTCGGAAGCTTTGAGAACCCAAGGCTGGTCGTACAAGAAAGTAGATGAGTACAATTCCGGAACATCAGTGAGTCTAGACTCTAACAAGACCTCATTTTCAGCAAATGCGTGGGGATTATCTAAAAATGCATCCGCCGCGCAAATTTGTTCCTTGCATCTATAAGCTTCAAGTAGTGGGTCTTTAATAGGTGCAACGTCGACCTGAATTGGCCTAAACTGTCCGGAACTTTCATTCGACATAACAGGAAAGTGAATTGAGAACGCTTTCCTTGACGAAGGGAATTGTAAATCGAAAGTAAGTGGTTCCATGGGTGTTAAATTCGAATTTATCAACTGTCCGAGATTTTCCATTTTAATAACGTCAAGATTGAAAATTGACTTTAAGAATGGATCGGATTTGATCTCTCCATTATTTACGAGATGTTTTGCTTCTATATGGGAAAGAATTTTGAGAGAAACCATTCCAGGCAAGGCAACTTGAGTTTGCATAACTTTAGATAGCGCAGGAGATAGTCTAACCATTGGGTTTTCCCATGCGCACTTAACTTTCGTTGCTTGAGTAAATGGAATACTAATTTCGAGAAATTCTTTTGATAAATCAGTATCTGTTGCAGTTCTTATTTGTTGACCAGATTCTAAAGTAATTGATTTGAAAATGGCTCCTAATGGTATATTAGTCGAGTATATTTGGAAAATTGCTCCTGCTCCTGACTCTGCAATACGAATTTCCGCAATAATTGTTGTTTTTCCGATAGATTCTATAACAGGGATTGATGATAATTGATCTGAATCGAGGACTGGCTGTTCTTTTATGAAGGTTGTTAAGTCAATATCAACAGCCATGAGTCTTTTTATAGCGCTTTCATAATGTTTTAACTCTTCGGCAAATTCTGGATCATCTTTAACCCAGTTTGTCGCGAAAATCTCGTGAAAAAGAGAGCATTCTGAAGGAGAATTCGTCATCACGAGTTTACAAAGTTTACAAACTAGTTTACAAAAAGTGCTCAAATTCACAATGATGATAAACAAACAATATCTCAGGAAAGACAATTGTTTTATGAAATTAAACCTGCAATACCAGGTATATTGGGAGCCATAAAATTCATATGATTTACTTTGAGTTAGTAATATTTATAAGAAAATCTATATTTGGTGAGTGAATTTCATTCACACTAATTTGCTACTTTCAAAAAGTGACGTTTATAAAAAAAACTTGATTTGATTAAATTTCTGTAATTGCACTGAGGGCTTCTTAACATAGAAGCTTAAACTTTCCCCTTTAATCAAATTGAGCTTTATTTGTAATTGTATTGAACTTTTAAAATATTTAAATCACTTACCTATAAATGACTTATATTCATTCTGATTTCTATTATAATTCAGGAACACTTCTCAAAGGTGTCAATATGCCTGATCCAGATCTCATTATTTCGAGAAATTGCATTGAAATCTATGGAAATAATGAAAATGACTATTGCTTTTTATATTCAAGAAAAACATTAGTATCATTCAGTTTTGAATCTAATCCACAACTTACTACTATTGGGAAATATGCTTTTTATAATTGTGCAAAGTTACAAAGAATTGATTTGTCATCTTGTACAAAACTTACAATTATTCGTGAAAGAGCGTTTTCGTTTTGTACTTCTGCTAAAGAACTTTACCTTCCAGAAGGACTGAAAAACATTGAATCGTATAGTTTTTCAGAAACAAAAATAAGATCATTAATAATACCAAATTCGGTCGTTGAAATGAAAGATCATGCATTCACAAAAGCTGAATCACTAACATCAATTAATTTCAAAGATGGATCGAAACTTCTCTCTCTTGATTCTTGTGTATTTTCATATACAAAATTAGTCGAATTTGAAGTTCCTGAGTCTGTACAATCGATTAGTGGGATATTTCTTTATAAAGTATTCTCATTAACTATAATTCGTGTTCATCCAAAAAATAAATATTATATAAGTGATGACTGTGCAGTTTACACAAAAAATTATTCAAAAATTTTATCTTTCGCTCCGAACTCCACACAAACATATGTTATTAATTCGAATGTGACTGATATTAATAACGGAGCATTCATATGTGCAAAATGCACTTCCATTATAATACCTCCAACTGTTACATATATTGGAGAACTTGCATTTTATGAGACAAGATATCTTAAACAAATTGAATTGCCTCCAAACATAACTATAATAGAAAGTTATACTTTCTATTTCTCAGCAATTACATCAATTGACATACCAGATAATGTTACAAAAATTAATTCATATGCATTTTTCGCCTGCTCATCTTTGAATAAAATTATTCTTCCAGGGAATCTGACATCAATTGGCGGAGGAGCTTTTCCTTTAAATTCAATAAATATTAATATTACATTCAAGGGTAATTCAACAATGAAGATTGATAAACAGATGTTATTGATGTCTAAAGACAATTCAACAATCTCATCATTACTTGATTTATCAGCAACTTCAATTATTCTTCCATGTCAAACAAAAATCATAAAAGAATCTGCTTTTCAATTAAGCAATCTCCAGACGATTTCATGTGATGGGGTATCAGAATTAGAAACTATTGGATTTAGTGCATTTAAAGATTGTAAAAGTTTGACATCAATTCCATATTTTCCAAAACTAAAGGTAATTCAGATGTCCGCATTTGCAAATACAAAACTTTCATCAGAGTTTAGATTTCCATCAACTTTCTCTTCTCTCCATCCAGAAGCATTTAAGCAAGTAACAACTTTACCTAGCATCTCTTTTTCATCAACTACTGTTACTTTGACAATTCAGGATTCAGCATTCGCTGGATGCACTTCTTTGAGTTATGTTTCATTTGATGAATGCACATGTGATATATACCTCGGAATAAATGTATTTTCTGGTTGTAGTTCTCTTTCTATGTTCAATGTAAAAAAGAACTTCAAAAACATTGATTCTGGATGTTTTATGAATAGTGGTATTAGTACTATAACATTTGAAGATAATACAACTTCATTCTATAATCTTCCTTCTATGTTTTTGAAAGGATGTTCCAATATGAAAGAAATTAATATTCCTAAAAACATTATCTCCATTGGTAGTGAATGCTTCAGCGGAACATCAATTTCTCATGTTTTCATTCCTTTTAGTGTTGAATCATTGTATTCACGGTGCTTCAGCGGGTGCACTAATCTTGAGAGAGTTGATATACCATCCACATGTAGCCTTTATAAAATCTTCCCAGAGATATTCGAAAGTTGCACATCCCTTTCATACATCAGTAACTTTTCCAGCAATCTTCTTGTTTGCCACAAAAGTACAATATATGACAAAAACTTCAGCCATGTATATCTACATGCTCCTGCATGCAAAGATAACTACATCAGCTTTGATCAAAGACTTGAAGGCGTTGCTGACAGCGCTTTTAAAAACAGCGTTTTCATTGAATTTGTTGTCTTCGTCGACAACAGTGTTATAAGTATTGGTCGTCATGCATTTGAATCTTGCATACGCCTGAAACAAATAAGTATTCCCTCCAGTGTTTCATCAATTGGAGAAAAAGCATTCTTCAATTGTGTAAGCCTCAAATGTGGTGTTCTTTTCCAGAACAAAACACAGATATTTGTTAATCTTCTAATTTCCAGAGGTATTTCCAAGTCAGCATTACGCCCATGTGAGCTTATTAGCTGCGGAATACAACAATTATATTATATTCCTGTTGTCGCTGCATTATTCACTCTTATTCTTCCAATGCAAATCTAATAAAAAATAATTATAACGTTTTATGAAAATTTATACTTTTTTATTAAAGATTGTGTCGCTCTATTGCATTCATACCCTTGTGCATATCATTGAAAAAGATTGTAGTGATAAAACTTCTCTTCAATATGCAACATTTTATAATAACAACAAAAGAAGATATATTTTACTATTTAGATCCAATACACATTAAAATCACAATCGAATTCCTTTCTCCTTCATTTTTGAAAATCATTGAAACAAAATTGCAAATATATCTTTAATAGAGGAGAAAATTTGCTTTCTTTTAATGTCAGTAAGCTGAATTTTTTTCTTGTGTCTCCAAATCCATAAATGAATTTTTCATTTTAGAATGGATGATTACAAAATTGAAAAGGTATCTTCAAAAGTTAGTGATCTTTATGCAAAGAAATCAATAGATAGTAATACGGGCAACTTTAAAATAGTTGATGTCGTAGGAGAATTCGATGATTGTGAACTACTTGAAGACCCAATGACAGATGATATAAAAAACAGCATATACAATGAATTAAATTCGAGAATGGATTCTAAAAGTCCTATTTTTGATAGAATAGAATACTTCCTTTCAGAGTTCGGTCCTTATTTTGCTCATTTTCTCGTTGTTCAATCAGATTTACTAACAAAAGTCTTTCAGCACATAGAATGTGATGTAGAAACCGTAGATTTTTCACAAATTACACAAATAATTTCAATATCACAAGAAGCAATAATGAATGCGTTCAAAAAAGGATTATATGTCTTTATAATACACTGTATACAGTCAGATTCTCAAATATTAAGGCATCTAATTCTCAAATTAATTCGAAAAATTTTAGTTGGCTCTCATTTGACAAGAGTTTGCCTCTTTGGACTAGGATTTTTCGACTTGTGTCTTGAAATATTACCTTCTTTTTCGATAGAAAACCTCAGATATCTCGCAAAAACAGTTTTAAGGTACATTATTTTAGATCCAGTCACAGGAAGGCGCGGATATCAGATGAATGGGCATTCCTTGCCTTCAAGGACCGATATTTTGAGGTTTATTACAGAAAATTTTGAAATTCATCCTCATAATTATTTAAGATTGACGAATTTCTTGAAAACAGGGTGCACAAAACGTAATGCAACTGTTATATGGCAGTTACTTGATATATTTATTACGCAAGAAGACCCAGAAACCCATCTTTCTGCATTAATGTCGTATTCTTACATGTCATTAGTGTCAGAAGAGAATTCAAACATAATAATTTGTAATACCAAGGTTCCTCATGCAGCTTTGGCCTTCCTAAGTTCAGAAAATAACAGATTAATCTTTTCATCGTTTTTCTTTTTGACTTCTTCGACATTTAGAGTATACAGAGAAGGAATTGTTACTCTCTACCGCATATTTAAGGACCTAATTGCTGTAGGAATGGATTTTTTGCAAAATGAAGACAAAGATATCAGAATTTTATCTGCAAGGTTCCTAAATAACATCATTGCGGACTGTGATGAAGACATTGCTAACTATGTTGGCCAAGAAAAATGGAATTTGTTCATGAATATTTTGGAAGAAGATGATCAATCAGTAAAATCAGAAATTCTATGGCTGATACTCAATATATTGCTTGCTATTCCATTTGAAACAAGAATGGAGGCTTTAAATCCACATATTTGGGAAAATTTTGTAGAATTTCTCGAAGGAGGAGAGCTTCCACTTGTTGAAGCAATTCTTAACTTCATTTGTGTGATGATAAATGAAGATGAAGCGTTTTCTTTCATAGGAACTCTGATTGAAAACGAAACTGTTCAAACTATCCAAGAATTAGAAGAAAGCGATAGATCTGCAATTGTTAGTCTTTCTCAGTTCATCATGGACGCTGTTAATGACTTTTGTAATCAGAATTAAAAATTGTTTTTTATTATTTTTATAAAACTTAACTTTTTAGATATAATTTACAATATCTACAAAATATACAATATATGGGGATAGTTAACACTCTAAAATTAAATAAATAAGAAAACAAATGGAATCAATGCTACATGGTTTATACAAATGTCAATACAGTTAAGGAGAACAAATATTCTCGTCTTTTCATGCATTTATCGTCTACGAATAACTCGAAAAAATCTATCATGATATGGATCAATGAACTCTGTCTTTTTGGGAGGTAACAATAAAGTTATTTTGGCGACTCCATGTCCATGATGACCAATGCTATAGGATCCATCATATTCAGGTAAACTCTCATTTCCAGGTATCAAATTTGTTCTGGAAAGCATATATCTTTCATCTAAATTATATGGGAAACTTGGATGAAATGTATAGTTATAAGCAAATCCAGAACCACCTCCGGAGCCTAAATATTCAAATGAATTAGGATCTGCAGACCCACCACCAAACCAGCCACCCCCAGCACCTCCACCTTGGAAACTGTTATTGCCACCATAACCAAAACTTCCTGAATGCGATTGATATGAACAATATCCTCCAGAATCTTGAGTTCCTCCGTTTAATGAAAACAAATCAACAGATACTCCAGTAATACCACCACCTGGGCCTCCAATGTTCATTTTTCCATTCAAAATAACACCTCCTGACCCTCCACCACCAGCCACTATTACCCTAGAATACAAATCATCATTTCCAATGCGAATATCTGTTGCACCACCGCCACCATTTTGAATGCTACCCTCTGGATTTATATTCATTCCTCCGCCATTATATCCACCATAAATTATCCTCTTTTCACTGTCATTTCTTCTTGGTGTAGATCCTCCCAAATGAATAAATATTTTTGTAGGTGATGTTAAATTGATTATTCCTCTTGCATATCCTCCTCTTCCTGGATTTGCTGAATTAGATGAGGGGTCATTATTGATTTTGTAATTTAATCGTCGTCGTTATCGATTTTGTAATTTAATCGTTATCGTCTTTTTCTAAACGTGCATTTTTTGCTTTCGGAGCTATTGAACATACATTGGCCCTTACCAGCAATTGAAAACTATTTTTCATTATCAACAATTACATTACTCCGAGTTATTCATCAATCAATGAAAATCGATATATAGTCCATACTTCAATTTACAATATTGGCAAGTCCGATTTCACTTGGCATATTTAACTCATATAGAAAAACCAGTTGGAATCGGCAAAATTATCTTTAATTCCATACATAAGAAAAAAAAATTATAAAGTTCTTCAATAATAGCAAACTAATAGTTTAAATAGATTTACAAGTATCGCCCATCTACTTTTGATATAATTCACATATTAAATGTAGAAAACTGGTTTAAAATAAATATTTCAAAAGTTCGAAAACGATTTATGAAAAAATAACGTGATGACATTTACTAAATTTGCTCTGTATTAAAGTATCGATGATAGAAAGAGCATATTTTGTAAATATTTCAAAAATATTTAAAAGTCGGAGAAATTGTATTGTAATGTACTATAATTATGTTACAAATCCGATTTAATACTAATCCTTCGCTATTGAAGTTGTTTTGAGAAGGATATTCTCTAAATTCTTGATAAATCTTTAAAATCTAGAGTAATCGTTTTGTAAACTTAACAAAACTAAAATGTATACCAATAGATTGGCATTTTCTACGTTTTCAAAGTGAGAGAGTGTAAATTCTTTTTTTTTATCCTATTAAGGTTTTTAAAAAATTTATTTAACAATAGGATGTTTAACACTAATTTTTTAAGGACTTCGACTTTAGCATCACATAAATATGTTATTTTCTATATTAAAACGTAATTTTGGTGGTCTTAGAATAGAAAAATATGCAATATTCGTGGAGATAATGAGGGTTCTTAAACATGTTCTTAAAAATAAATAAAATAATACAAATCTTTATTCAATCTTTTGATATTGTTGGTCCTCTCTTTGTGAAAATACTTAACTTCAAAGAGTATTATGTTTTACCTAGTGAGGACCTTAAGTTTGCAAAAACATAATAAAAGTAAAATAAAAAAGATCTGATTTATCACAAAACTTTGAGTATTATAGGATTTAATATATTTTCTTAGTAGATTATATGATTTAGTTTCTTAAAATCTAAAGTATTTCTTGAGGAAAATATAAATTGAAATTCAAAAAGTAAAAAAATGTAAACAAATCAAATTTTAAATGGACCAAATGTTGATTTTTCATTCGTTTTCTCATTATCGAAAAAAATTTGGAAAGCTAAGAAGTCAATAACAAGTTATATAATACAACAAAAACCCACATCGGATATGTTTTCATCAAATAGTCTCCTAGATTTGTTATGAAATTAAAATATCATGATATTTTAAGGGCTTTTGATTTCAATATTAGAATTATTCAGTTATATCGTGCTAATATCAATTGCTTTATACAATTAATCGTTTACAAGCTGCAAAAATCGAACAATAATTTGACTTTGTAAAAAAAGTGCGTCATTTTTATTCGTTATACTTACAAAATGTAAACATTACGAGAAACATTTACATTTGTAAATGTAACAAGTAAAGTTGTATCGCATAATTTGACTTTGTAAAAAAAGTGCGTCATTTTTATTCGTTATACTTACAAAATGTAAACATTACGAGAAACATTTACATTTGTAAATGTAACAAGTAAAGTTGTATCGCATAATTTGACTTTGTAAAAAAGTGCGTCATTTTTATTCGTTATACTTACAAAATGTAAACATTACGAGAAACATTTACATTTGTAAATGTAACAAGTAAATACATCAGATTTAAATTGTAAATGTAGTTTATCTCTCTCATCTCCTTTTTAAAAGGTATTACATACATACGAACGCATGGGTCACTCAATAATTAGCGTGATAATAATTGAGGATAGACTGTAATCGTAATTTTATTTTTGGACTTATATTTCGACATTTTGAAGTCGCTTGAAAGTCTTGCAAATGATTAAATTTGGAAAATTTGACCTAAGTCTGCATTATTTTGATGACTTAAACAATTCTATAAATCTGTTTTCCTAGAAATTTAAAAAGATATAATTTCAATTTCCCTAAATTTATGTAATTCATATATCACCAAAATATTTGGACTGCATTTCGTTTGTCTGCACCTAATTAAAGTCTAAATACCAATTAATTTTGGAGTTGCATTGCTTTTAATGTAAAAATGCACGTTTAGAAAAAGACGATAACGATTAAATTACAAAATCGATAACGACGACGATTAAATTACAAAATCGATAACCTCTCTTAGATGAGTACATCATTCCACCTTCAGCTCCCCATACTTCTAATCTATATCTTCCTTTAGGAAGAATTACTTCATATGATGTACAATGAGAATAATTATCGCATGGGAAATAAAATACGTAGCGTGTTTCATTTGAAGAGATATTTGAAGTTCCTACTGTTTGATCATGTAAGCTGAAGTTTAAAGATGCTGACTGAACAATAATTACAAGCGAAGCAATCATTTTTATGATGGAACTATATTCATTGAATTGTAATTAAAATCTTTCAAAATTCAATAGTTGTCAGAAATTACAAATCATCATAATATTACTGAATGCATTATTCTCAATATAATATAATTACAACCAAATTTTTTCAAAGAAAAAATGGCAGACTGTGAATAAAATTGAGAGATAAAGATTTTAATGAAATTTTGAATTAAATTTTGTTCAATATGCTATATTAATTTGATATATACATGGCACGATGGGCGCTACTTTTTTGGCGCCAGCGGCGCCGCCCGCGCCTCCGGTGGCTCCCACTGGTGGGGAGGAGACGATAGAAAAAGATATAAATTTTACTAAAAAAATTGAATTTTGGAAATTCTTTTGATTTTTTTGAATGATTTACGAAGAGATTGAACACATTTTGTACTATGAAATATAGTTATTAATAAATTTACTTCTTAAACATCTATTAAAATCGCAATTTTGAATATTTTTATGATTTTTTTTGACCCGATCACTTGCGCCCGCGCCCACTGGGAGGGGTGCTTGTAAAGTATTCAAAAATCAATGTAAACATTTCAATTTTTGCTCCCACCTCCCATTGGGAGGGGGGCATATATCTTGTAGCGTTCAAGTTCAAGTGATGAAAGTGCATAAGAAAGCTCCTTAATCATACCGATAGAAACAGCATTAGGGGCGCCAAATGGCGCTCGGTGATGTTTCCCATAAAAGCTTAATTTCAGGTATCCATAATCATAACCTGTCAGACGCAATAATTCATGAGCACACAATCATCGTTTCTCAATCAAGAAACGAAACGCACGATTGATTATGCTGGCCATTAAATTTTCATATCAAATAATTTACTACTTCAAGAAAAATTAAAGACTATCATCAACCAAAGCTTAAAATTCTCAGTGTTTACAACTCTCATACTTCGAATATGCATATTTCCAAAATAGCATGAAAATTTTTTTCATTTGAGCTCATTTTCTTTTGTTCTATTAACTAATACATGCAGTACAAGCTTGTTATACGTATACTTAATAAGTAAGGTCTTAAGGGAAATAATAAAAAAGAATTTTGCTATTAATTATATTAAACAATATTTATTTGTAATTTCGTGATAATTATATTTCTTATTACAAAGTAAAGGTATTTGATATAATGTTTGCCTTACAAAAATGTTTCCTTTGTCTTGCCACCATAGGTATTCTATTTTGTCACTTTTTGCGCCCGCCGTGCCATGTATAATTTGATATATTATTAGAGCAATATTAATTGTTAAAAACGAATTCATTTCAATTATGAGATTTGCACGGGCAACGAAATTTGCAAATTTGAGTTAAAATTCATAAGCGCTTGCTCTAGTAGTTTCGGTTTTCACATGTTTTAGGGCTCTTTGATTGAACAAATATGCACGTTTTTATAAAAGGCGGTTTAAGACATATCGACATATTCAATTACAATCTTATAACCATTGAGAACTCACCGCTAAAAATTTTTGTGTGATTTTCCATCGGAAAATTGAGAGGAAAATGAGTAGTTCCGATATGAATCGATGTACTTCCACGAATACCACTAGATGAACAAATGGAATCGAACTGATATGGAATTTATTGATAATATTAATTATCAAAATTATGAAATACAACACTATAATGATGAGTACTTACTGGCCACTAATCTGTGTATAGAAAGATCACCTGTTCATGAAAATTGTGGTTGAAAGCTGGACTTACGACCACAAAATGAGCAAAATATATGATCTGATTAATTTTCGATTTTATTTGAAAAATAATCACCTCTTTATGTGTTGTTTTGAACATTTTGATCAAATTAACAATCCCGACCAATTTATTTTTATTCAAAAAAAAAAATCCGAACGAATGAAATATTAAAAAAAATCTATGATGTCTACAAGTATGATTTGCTAAATATAATAATAGTGCACTAGTATAGCTCATCATGGCAATATCATATAACCAATATTGCGTTTTTGGCTGGCAGAACTCTCATGGAAGATCAGGTGTAGTAAAATTAGAATTTGGCAATAATGAATATATCAGTCATGCAGGTATGATTCAATACAACTCTAAGATATAAAATCTGATGAACACGTTTGGATATGGCATATTGGAAAAGAACTATTAAGATTGAATGAGAAAAAAAATAATATTATGAAATATGAATATGAAATACAATGCAATAGAATGGAAATTATAATATTTATATATTACGGTGTGTCAGAAATCATCTTTAATATCTGTCTGGAGCATGTGGAACAAAGCTGAGAAGAATTATTTCTGATTCTTCATATAGTGGAATCAAAAACAGTCATTTATAGATAATGATTGTTTTTGTTTGCAATAATTAATTCATGCCTTATTTGTGGCTCGATTAAAAGTATTTTATTGCAATCAGTGCATGAAATATATGTTATACTGCAAGTATTGTAAATTAAATCTTGAATTTAGCAAAGAATAATAAGTATTTGGCACAAATCACGTCAATTATGCGGATTACGGCCCCATAATATCAATGATTTTGAAAAATAACTTGAAGTCAGCTTCTTTCAACTTCAGAGAACGAATGCATTACATCAGAATTTTAAAATTTCAATTCTCACTCTCTGGTATCAATATAAGGAATCATCAAGAGTTATCAAATAAAATTGAATGTGAAAAGTGACGTTTTTGACTTCATTGGCAGCTTTTCAAAATGGATCGTGCCAATGCATTCAAGGCTCACATTGAAAAGAGTGCCGAAACTAATAAGCTATATGTGGTGCTTCAAGAAAACCTAAAATCAGCGCAATGGCGAAAATTAATGAATACAATTCAGCTATGCCCTAATTTTCTGATAGATTTACTAAGGCATGGATTCTTTTCATATCTTTTATATTACGATGGTCTTGACTCTCAGTCTAAAACCTCTTTCATTATTTTGATATTTAAATTATTATTACGAAATAATATATTACCACGGCAATTTATCAAAGAGAAAGATATTATAGAATGTGCACAAACACAAAGTCCGATTGTTTTGAAATATTTCATGGCGAATCGAGAATTTGATCCAGATTTTGAAGCAAATGAGAATCATCCTATTCAGTTACTAATAGCGAGAGATAACCCATACGATTTGACTTTAGCAATTGACATTTTTCCCGAATTTTTTCAGAAAACAACTCAAATGGGTGTAAAGTTGCTCCAATTTGCTATTAACAAGAATTTAACCAATATACTGAACATGTTTAATTTATTTATAGATATATTTCATATTAATTCTCAAGAATTTACAAAAATATTTTGCCAATTGAATCAAGACTGCCCAAATATCTTACCAAAATACCAAACACTACTTTCAAAGAAATTTGCAATACCAATGCTCTTCGTTCCACACGAATGTCATTTTAATTCTCAAGATTATTTCAACATCAACGTAGACGATGATTTTAACAAGCCATTTCTTAATCTCAAAAACTCAATACCTAAGTGGGAAGATGATCAATACAATTCTGATCATGTTTTTCAGAGAGGTTTGCAATTATTAGTAGATTTGCCATATTTCTTCCTTTCTGATAAAAAAGCCCTTCTTAATAATACTTACTTAAAGGTTCCTCCCATCGATATGGGCTCAGCTGAAGGAACTGGCATGTTAGAACACGTAATCAGGGAATACTTCAATTTTCTTCAGCAAACTGCTTATTTTGAGCCTGACCATAACTTTGCCCTTCCAAATAACCAAGGAACTGAACCAGATTACATTGAAAATCAAAAAATTATATCTTATGGTCTCGGAGTTGTAATTTTGAAGTGTTTCTTATCGAATCTCAAGATAGAGATATCCCATAACTTACACTTTTGGGTCTACGAAGCTCTTAGGTGCGGATTTACGAAAAAATACATTAAAAAGAAATCCCCTGAGAACTTAGTGCACGAATCCTTACTGTACGATGGCAATTTAACTTCCGCAATGCTTAACGAAGGCTCAGAACCCGACAAAGAAGAATTATTAAGAGAAAATTTAATTTTTTGTGGCAATCGCGCTGATTATTTGATAGCATTACATGATGGCTTCAAGCTTAAGTTCCGTCCCGACATTCTTCCTGCGAAATTAGAAAAAAACATTTCATTATTGAGGTCCAAACTAGAGAAATCCAACTTTTACGAGTCATTTAAGAAACTAAACCTTTTTGCCTTGATGAAAATCATGAGTCCCATCAAAGAACTCTCATTAGACTTTTATAAGAATTTATTTGAGGTCGAGTTCTATGAATCAATAGTTACAAATAACAAAGCTGATGGAAAAGACCAAAGGCTTCAAGAAAATTCTCAAAATATGAAAGAATTCAACGAAGCAAAACAAATCTTTTACCAAGCTCTTGAAAAATGGTATTATGAGTCAGCCAAAAACGAAACTGATACACTCCGGAAGTTTTTCCTTCTTACTACCGGTTCTGACATTTTTACGACATGGGGAACAGTGAAATACACTGTAGCCATCTCCAGGTATTCTTTTGATGGAATGAACTATATTAAATGTGAAAACAGAATCCAATCTTGGACTTGCGACCACTTAATTTTATTATCTCCATTCCAAACAGTTGAAGCCTTCGAAGAACAAGTTTTACGCAATTATTCTCATCTTGATAACTCTATACTTGTAGATTAAACAATTTTGTATTGACGTTTAAATATTATAAGTCATTTTTTAAAGAATCTCAATGGATAGAACGACCTGTGTATACTGATTGTAAACAATTCATAAAATATGAATCTTTATTCAGCCTTCTCTCTCAAAATTGAATTGAAATAAGATTTTATGATAAAGCAAATAATCAGAGATCAAATCGCCAATTGTCCATCAACAAAATTAGTCAATATACATAAAACTAATTCCCATGTACATCTCAAATTATTTAAAAATATAATTCTATTAAATGTTGCTCAAGAAGTTAAATTTGCGCCATGTGAACACAGAATTTCTTATGTTGATTTACCATTATTTCAATATCGAATGTAATCAGCTATATTCAGATTTATAAAAGCATTCGATAATGAAAATTGCTTTGGAATATTCACAAGATCGAGTAAAATATAATGTGAATAGTTAAAATTTGTCATTATATATAAAAGATATATAAGTGATTGAACTTCGGTGATCATGAAACTAAAGTTGTTCAATCAATTTTTACAGACATTTCAACAACAGAAAATGGTGGCGCTCTTCGTCTCACCAACAGCATTGTAAAGATATATTGCTGTGAATTCGAAAAATGGATAGCCAAAGCTTATGGTGGTGCTATATTACTAAACAAAGCAAAAAGTAATCTAACAAATCTCTATGTCCAAACATGTTTTGTTCAAGAACACAAAGATTCAAATTATGGAAACTGCGGTTACATTAAAGATTGTGAAACACACTGCGAAATTATTTCCGCACATAAATGTGGTTCTAGTTCTGATAAATGCGGAGATAGCACACTAGTTTTTGATCAAAATGTCACTTTTCTAAAATATCTCAATTCAACAAAATCATTTTCATATTTTGGTGCTAGTGGTTTCACCATGATATCGTCACGGGATGGGTCCACAGCATCACATATTCTTTGTAGTGAATGTGGTGACTATACTTATGCTGAACTATTTTATGTTTCTCATGAATTTTCATTTTGTAACTTCATTAATGGGCAATCACATGAATCTGTATTTTACGTTTATGGAGCTGGACCTACTATTAAGGATTCAGTATTTGTTAATACTCCATTGTTGCTAAATGGAGGCACTGGGACTGTTGACTTGAAAAATTGCCAGAGCAATGTTGCGTATGCTGGTTATCAATTGAAAACTTATGTTGGAACTATAGATTTTCACGTCATATCGTCATGTGATCAAGAAATTAAGTGCATAACCAGACCGAATAATTTTTATGATGTAATTGTATTTCGATATTTGTTATTTAATATCTTATTCTTATTTTTAACTAAAACTTGATTTTCCCATATGTTTTGAATCCTTTGCCCTGAGAGTTTTATTTGATGAATTGAATGATATTACCATTTAATTTAAAAATTTGCTTGAATATGATATTTTCTATATAATAGTGTGAGGACAAGTGTTCCATAAATGAATTGAGGGAGAAATTGAAATATAAGATCTAATTAATCAGAGAAGTGATGAAAATGAAAGAACATACATTTTTATTTCGCAACAATATAAATATAACAAAACAAAAACAATTTTATCTGATACTAACAATTTTTGAAGAAATTCTTGCTATTGGAACATTTGCTTTCTGCTTTGTCTGGAAGTATGGATGTTGTAAAGCTTCTTGCGCTGTAATTCTCTTGCTTGGGTCATAAGAAAAGCATTTCTCAAGTAAATCAAGCAAATCATGATCAAAAACTCTGAGCATTGATCTCAAAGACACTGATTTTGGTGTCCTCTTCTTTTTCTTTGGATTTTTATGTATTGGTTTCATGTTTTCATCGAAATAAACGTGACCCCTGGAAGAATTATCAATTAATTCTTTGTCAGGAATTCCTAAAACTTCAAACATCATCTCAACAAGCTCGCTTTCATTTGCAGCAGGGAATAGTGGTCTTCCTGTCAACATCTCAACTATTATGCATGCAAAGCTCCATATATCCATTGGAGGACCATAAGGAATTCCGAAAACAACTTCTGGAGCTCTGTAGAATCTGCTCTGGATGTACTCGAATTTGGCATAGCCATTGAAGCAGCCACTGCCAAAGTCAAGAATCCTGCTGTTAACTGTAGAACCAGGAATAAAAGCAACATTTTCTGGTTTCAAATCACAATGAATAACTCCATGTTGATGACAGAAATCAAGGCATGAAAGTATTTTTTTGGCAACAAGTTTGATTTGGCGAGCTGAAAATGGATTAAATCTGATAGAACGACTGTATTCATATAAATTTTTGCCAAGAACTTCAAAAGTAGCGCAAACATGATCTCTAAACATAAATGAATCCATATTTTGAACAACACCGCTCTTGTAATCTGGATCTGCATGGTTAAGATGTTGAAGAATTGAAACTTCTACTCTTCCTTGTTGTTGCATTTGCTGTGTATTAACAATAACTTTAAGGGCAACTTGTTTATGAGTTTTATGGTCTAAGCAGCAAATAACTTCTCCAAAGGCTCCTTTTCCAAAAATCGATTTGATTTCAAAACGATATGCAAAATGATCTCCAATAATGATCTTGAGATGATGTGTAGAATCATCATATCCGTAATTATTGTTTGGCGTGTTCTTAGGCTGAATTTTCTTTGAATATTGTCCTAAATAATAAATTTCTTCAAATCTATCGATTTCTTTCATTTCATATGATGTAAGCATGTTCGAATACAACTTTTTGGCTTCATCAGCAGTAATTGGAGCATTTTTAATTATAGGATCCGTCGGTTTCTGAATTTTAGAAGTAATTTTCGATTCTTTCGGACGAATTCTAGTATTGGATAATCTTGTACTAATAGTTGTTGATGTTTTTTGAGGTCGAGCAGATTTGATATCCTTTGCAGGAATGTGATTTGCTTCAAAATTTAAGTTTAATACTGGAACTGCAGCACTTTGCTTACTATCATTATTTGAAGCTTTCGCACGAGCTGTTCTAGGATTCTTTTTTGTTGACGAAATCGATTTTACTGAAGATCGCATTGTTTCTTAGAGTAGGTGACAAAAGTGCATACTCTTAAACAACCGTCGGATTTCCGGGTGAAATCGTGACACACTTTCGTCTTTCGTAGGCAGTGGTGGTTGTTACAAAAGGTAACTTCGAATGTAGCGTGAAATCTGCAAAAAAAATTCTGAAATTTGAATGGAGAACACAAAAATTGAATAGTTTACGTCAATAAAAAGGAGAAAAATGAATCCAATGTGTCTCGAACCTAGGACTTAGAGCACCAATCCCACTGTTTATCCCATTACATATTACACTACATGCATCTCTCACCTCAGTGAATGAGATCAACTATATGATAACTTTTTCCCCATTATATTCTTGTGGAAAAGTGACAAATAGCAACTTTGACCCTCTCTCATTGTTTCTTATTGTTTAATATCCGTTTTTTAATCGATGTCAAAAATATTTCGCAGTTTACAAAATTTTGAATATTTAATTGTACACTTTTTCAATGATTTTGTAAATTTTTTACGATTAAATTCAATTTATTAATCAAGAATCCTATTAATAAGCTTTTGATTAGTGAGTTCCATCGATATTGTTAAAAGGTGTCAAAATAAGGTGATTTTTTTCTAAAAATCAATTTTGATCTGCATATGGTTTCTCAGATTTAGATTGATTCGTTTATATACAATGCATATTTAATTTCATTAATTGAATATGAACTATCCAAAAATGGATATTTTCGATCAATGAATATTTTTCGGGCTGAGAATTGCTTTGACATTGCACATCATTCCATGTAATTGAATTTTTGAGATGTGTATATTCGTTTCTATGGTTATCCGCTTATTTAGCAGTTTGATTCATGAATTATAGTTAATATTTGCGAGAGAGAATTAGCGAATGTCTTATATGAGAATACAATAGCCATATTATATGTTATATTCTTGATTCATATATTATTCGCATATATTTTTCAAAATAATCTCCAATATACTATATAATATTGATATTTTTGAAGTTATATAACAGAGAATCGATTTGGTACAATATGTAAATGTATTGGAGCTTCAATATTAGAGATACTTTTTGTTCAAAGAAAGATCTCAAGAAGAATATCATTTTATATAGATGTAATGATTTGAAAGCAAACTAAAAAGATGTAAAAGAAGATGAAGATGATATGCTACCTCGCCAAAATCTAATTGATATCGATTATATCAAAATTCGAATTAAATCATTTTTTGTATCTACAAGCGATAAACGGGTCATAAAATCATGTTTCACTAGAGCCAATATGACTAAAAACAATGTGGTTAATTCATGGAATGTATAAAATATTCAGAATCGAAATTGTTTTCTACCGGCTTCGAAACTCTCACATTATTCAAATCATAACTCTCCTAGCATTACTTTTCAATAAAAGTGGGGAAAGAAAGGGCATTAAAATGAACAAATATTCCAAATCCTGAAAATAGTGGGAAAATGCAAAAAAATCGTGATGATTTGACTCATGTATTCAATAAAGAACTATTTAAGCTATTGTTGTATTATTCATTAAATTTTAGACATTCCGTACGAAAAAATTATTCAGAATAAATAATAAAAGGTGACAAAAAAACGTAGTTTATCATTCAATTTTGTTGATTACGATCAAAAGAAGAGTACAAAGTATTTGATGTAAAATAAGATTATCAAAATCTTTCCCAAATTCGATGTTTATAAAATAATTGAACTATTAATATAAGGATGTCAATTTGGAAGAAAAGTGAGAAAATTCCTAAAATGCTAAAAATGAATTTTCCAAACGTATTTTTTTATCTCATTTTTTTGATTTTGAAAAAAATTTGGAGAGAAAAACTCTTCGTTTTTGAATTTTGTCACGATGGTTTTAAAGTATATTAGACACATGTATTGATATTACTATTTTTGTATATTTTGAGAGAAAATCCCTAAAAAGTGAGAAAATCTAAGACGGTTTGAGAAAATATATAAACTATTGAAAATTTGAATTAAACTTCTAATTTGGAAAAAAGAAATTTGGAAAGAAGAAAATTCAAAAATCGAGATTTAGACTCAGCATCAAATGGAGAACAAAATGTTTCTTCATATGAAGGAAAAAAATTTTCTTGAGAAGAAATAGAGTTTTTAAAATTTTATTGTATGTAATGAAATAAACAAATATTAAAATTATTTTTTGATAACAAGAAAATTCCCAATAGAAAATATTTGAGAGAAAGAAAAAAAGAAAATTGAAAAATATTACTCTCCTTTATATTTCATGAGATTTTAAATTTATTCTCATAAAATTGACAATTTTATACGTTTAGATGAAAATAAGTGATTTTGGTTGAAATAGAAATTATTATTTGCTTACAGCTATCAAATAGATTTTTGCTATTTTGATTAAAATTTGTTCATCAAATTAATAAATTTTTTCTAAATATCTTAAATATCTGGATCACTCACTGATACAATGAATTGAACGATAAAAATAATACAAACTCAACTAAGTTTCCTCTCTTTCAACTAAAAAAAATTATGCAAATTAAATTAAATTGTTTATTCAAATATAAAACAAAGATGAAGTAATTACAGTTATCATAAACTTTATGAATAACTCTGTAATTGGTTCAGATTTTCGTAAAAATATTTTTATTAATATCGATAAGAATACGTTTACCTACTATCACAACATATCGATAAACAAGAGTAGAGTGATTTTTATCATCGAAACTTTTTAAAAGCTGTAAGCTGGAAGGAAAAATCTTGTTTTTTCTGAGTTAGTTGTAGAACTATTGATGCATGAGTTATCATTGTGATGTAGAAGGATGTCAATGTACTGACTGAAGGATATGAAGTGAATTGAATTTCATTGAATTTCAATTTGATCAAAATTTGTTGAAATGATATGAATGTGTCAACATCTGTATCACTCTCTTTCACTCCTTCCCTATTCTTTCGAGAACGAAGCTAGCTCAGCTTTCGCTGAGCGAATTGACACTTTTGATGTCCTAAACGTACATCCTCTCAAATTTATCGAAAAAAATTATACCACCTAAACTAGTATATTCTTATTTTAAATATGATATTATCCTTAGAATCCACACTAGAATATATTTAAATCAACTTTTAAAAAAGTTCGAATCCTGCGCGTCTCACTTTTTAAATTTTCGAAAAGGAAAATTATATTCTCCTAAAATGAAAACAATTTTCCGAATTGACATCCTTAATTAATACAATGACAATATGATAAACTTTTGAAAATACGCAAGTTAACTTCGTTGGTTTATATTGAGAATATTAAAACTTTCTGAACATTGAAATCTTTTATCGTACAATTTTGAATATTGTTTATAAGCAATATTGAAAATTTTGGATATTTAGCTCAGGCTATAGTTCTAATTAAGACATAATATAAACTTCAGAGAGATAAAAAGTAAACATTTCAAATTTGGAATTATTAGAAAAACAGTTTAAATAACAAAAATAAACGAGAAGATAGTATAATATACAAAACATTATTTCAAACCCATTCAAAACTGCATTGAATTATTTTTGAATGGCCTGATATTTCGTTTTGAGGGGTGTTAAAAATATAAACCTCACAAAAAATAAATGGCGGTTATGAGCTGAAAAAGGGAAATAATCAGGCTAAGCGAGAGTTTTTGTTCGATTGTAAATGAGAGGCGGAAGTCTGTGTAGCATTGGGACATTCATGTCTTTCCGTGGAGTCATCGATGTGTCTAAAAAGTAAGGAATTTCTGATATATGAGGAATAGTTGAAGGCGCCGGTGGAAATACAAATGGCGCAATTGTAATTGAGCTTCTGCGTTGTGTGGCAATTTCTTGAAGTGTAGTGGCTTTCGGTGTTTCTTCATCGGATTCTGGTGATTGCTGATCAGAGTTTTTGTCTGGAATATTCTTATTCTTTCTTGTAATTTGCTGATATCTATATCTACATTGGAGGTCAGTCCTTCGATTCATAATTTTAGCAACTTGACACCAATTTTTATTTCCTAGAATCTCAACGGCGCGCAGTAGCTGAGCATCCTCTTCAGATGACCATGGTGTGTGTGAAATATTAGGATCTATAGCTCTGCACCATCTTTGGTTGCATTGTGATGAAGATCTATCATTTCCTACGAATTCTGCAATTTGGCGCCAATCTTTAGCACCATATCTAAAAATAGCTGCTACAAGTCGAAGATCTTCTATCTCTGTCCATGGAGAGCTTTTCTTCCGGACTCCAAATTGTCGCTTCGAGGAATAAGCAAGTGTTTCAGGAGTCGGAAGAGGTTCATTTTCGATCGTTAATATGCGCTGAAGTTTAACAAGAAATGAAATATCTGAATCGACTGATTGATAGATCTGTCTAGCATTTTCGTAAGAAATTTGACCCTTAACGAAGTTATTACAAGCGTAAATCAGTGTCTCTCGAACATGAGATGATAGAGTTTCGTATTTGTGATTGATTTCGTTAGTTATATAATTCAGTGCGACGGAGGATTGATTAATCATTAGCAATAATTTTTTGTAAAGTGAACAAAAAAATAAAATTTAACAGAGCTCATAGAATAATCTGCCCGGATTTGAGATGAAAAAATGGCGCGAATGAAAAATGATCTCTATTTATTTCATGTTTCGTTAGGACTATAAGAAGGTCGAAACGATGGCAACAAAAATTTTTTCCCTAAAAACAGTAGAATAATTCAAGGTTCTGTCACAGATTTTATTAATTTTACTGTTGTTAGACCGAAATTATTAAAAAGAATTTGATTGTTGGAATTTTGAAATTGAGGTTCTAATTTTTGGACAACTCAAAATTGAAGAAAATATGATTTTTGAAGATCATACTTGTATAGTGTGCAGTTGTAATCAAATTAGGAAAAATCGGTATAATTGGTTCCTTCTTTCTTGGCATCTAGACAAGAATGTACTAAAATTACCACTACTATTAGCGATATCATTTAATGTTTGCATAAGTCCAAATGTGCTTGTTCTCCATGCTCAACTCACTTTTTTAGAAATGATTGAAATTGTAATTTTTTTAAATTATAATTATTTGGCATTTTTAGTTTATGGGTTGCACTAATTGCTCATAATATAGAATATTTGAGTTGTATCTCAAAGAACAAACAGTATAAATAAAGAAATGAGAAATCTTGAGAAAAAATTACGATCCTATTTTCATTTAAATCCTAAAAATCGTGTTGATTTTCATTTTGACAAGTAAATCTTTGACTCTTCTATTCCAATATCACGTTATCTCAAGACTGATAAAATACGATGCTACTCAATTTCCAAATAAAATGAAAAATATGTTTTTATTATAGAAGAGAATTATATTTTCAACAATATTGGAAAAGCTTAGATGAAATTTAGTTTATTTGTTTAGTTTGAGGGATATTTAATTAAGAAATCAGCTTTTACATTTTATGTACAAGTTGATTGTTGAATAAAAATCACTTAGATGTAATAACGCTTCCTAAACGGCTAACAAATTTTTTTGAAATGACTGAATCATACATAATTACACTTACAAACAAGGAAAAAGAGGTAGGAAAGTATACAGTTGATCCTGCTCTCTTTTGCCAATCATCTATGAAGTTTAAGAGAGAATTTATGACAAATCCAAAATCATACAAATTCGAATCGAACTATAATCCAGATATTTTTGCAGTTTACGTAGATTCTTGCCAACAGAAAAGATTTACAGTTACAGAAAACACTGCTTATCCATTACTTAAAATTGCAAAAGATTGGGAAACACCAGAACTCGTCAAAACTGTTTCAGAATTCATAGAAAAAAACTGTGTTCATCAGCCATATATTCTCATCCACAGATCTAAGGGATATCATGATATGGTATATCCTATTGATGCTCCACTCTTTGCAAAGGCTTCTGACAAGTTCAGAGAAATCTATGCAGAACATCCAGAGCAATATACAGTCGAAGATGAAACCACGCCTTCAGTTTTCTTATCTTTAGTTCTTGCTTGCCAAAAGAGAGCCTGCCATACAAGTGCCGATGAAGTTTATGAACTTCTCGATCTCGCTACAGAATGGGGTGCTCCATTCCTTCAGAAATACTGTCAAAGAAAGATCGAAGAATTCCGTTTGCAGGATGTTCCAGATCAGGATGCCATTCAAGTACTTCTTGACCAGATCAAGAATAAAGAGGATTTCAGCGAAACTGTTGAACACATCATTGATTACATAAATTATTACATTCAGCAAGAAAACTTCACAGATATCCCAACACAACTGATCTACTACATTCTTACAAAGGCAGAACAGAAGGGCGTTGACCAAGATTTACTTATTCCAACTGTATTTAAGAAATTAGAGAAATCTCCAGCTGCCGGTGTTCCTCTTATCCTTCGTCTTAACTTTGATAAACTCAGCGAAGATGAATATCTCGAAATTTTCGGAAACGAACAAATTCACCAACAAAATCTCAATTTCTACACTGGAATGTCGCTTTCTTCCATTTACGAGAATACACGTAACTACCTTGATGGCTTTAACGCCCGTTTCGTTGGTGAAACTAACAGAGTTCTTCGTGATATCGACCAAGATTATTATAACATCTTCCTGAAGTCAAAGAAGGCTCGCGAAACAGATTTCCGTAAAGTGCGTGATACACTCAATCGCCAGCAGGCTCAAATTGATGATTTAAACCGCACATTAAACACACAACGCGATTGTTTGACAGAAGCAGCCATTCGTGCCAAAGATGCACCAAGCAACGAACAATTACAACGCCGCGCTCAATATTCTATCAACAAATCGATCAAAAAGTGCGGAAAAGCGATTACAGATTATATCGATGTTTCTGATGCTAAAGCGCACGACATTCTTAATGATCTACTTGAGAAATACCAGAAGAAGCTCGACGACGCTGTTTCCAAGCTCGGTGACATGCCAGAGGACAAGAAAGAAGCAATGCGCCATCATAAAGAAAGTCTTCAAGCAATTGGAGATAGAAACAAGAAGATTTCTGCAGATCTCGATGATGTCAAGGCTGTTATGGCTGCAAAGATTGTTCACGACAAGCTCAAGGGTGACCAGTACATGCGCAGAACAGAAAACAAGTTGCAAATCCTTACAGAACCTGGAATTCTCGGTGTCAAGAAGGAAGATTTGGAAAGATCCGAACAGGAGATCGCAAAACTCGAACAACAGTTGCAAGAAATTTATCCAATCCCTCAAGGTCTTCATGCTTTTTAAATCTATATTTATTATTTTTAAAAAACAAATTTGAATTAAAAATGTTTCCGTGTAAACTATTTAAATTATTTCAAAAATTCTTTTCAAATCGGAAATAATTTTGTCTAATTTAAAATAGCATTGATTGAATAAGAATTTAATTTTCTTGCTGTACTGTGATAGATTTCGCATGAAATTCAAATAAACTATCAGATATTGAATTTGGAATTAAATTGTTTCTTAGATTATGTTGATAAGATTATGAGTTTTGTTAATCACGTCTGGAGTATCTTCTAAATTTCTAGTATTTCATGTATATTTAAAAGAAATCTTGAAACAAATTTCTTATTAATGTTTTCCCTGTTTGTATCATGTTGTATCTGCGAATTATGTTTATAATAAGCAATTTGTATTTAATTAGTCTGTTCATTTATGTATAAAGATGAAACAGATTCTGATCAATCATCTCCTCTCACTAAGGCGATTCTTGATAATAAAGGATCAAATGTGACAGAAGATGAAATCAAAGAATTTACATCAAATTTAGAATTAGCTCATGTTTATTTAGAAAATGGAAAATATCCTGAATACATTTCCTGCACCAATATTATCAGAAATATGATCATGGAAAAGTCTGTTTTGCTGACTCAAGTAGATTTATATAAAGAAGTTCCATTTTATTTGGAATCACTGACGAAATGTATAGAAACTAGACCTGTTTCACTGTTGATATTGTCATCCTTAATTTGTAGATATGAGGAAGTTGTAGAAATTCTCAAAAACACAAACATTTTCGAGATTTTTTCCGATATCTTTGCTGATAACAATAACACCAATGTAACTTCTAGCCTATTTGAGTTTATTTATTATATATTTAAGAGAGACAGTTCTGCTATTGAAGAATTCATAAAAATTGATGGATTAGGATATATTATTCATGTTCTCCATAGTTTATCATTTATTGATGAAGACACAAGTGAAATGATTGATAATATTGGATACACAATAATAATATTGGTAGATAATGTTCCGGTTACGGAAATTGAAGATTTTTTAATGGAATGCACACATAGTTTCATATGTTTTCATAAGTATCAAGTTGCATTCTATGTTCTTTATTACACTATCATCAATTTAGGAGAAGAAGGATTTCAAAAATATAAAGATTTTCTTATCGAAGATGTGTTCGGATCAATAGACTGGATAATGAACAAGATAGGTATTGTTATTGAAAATGAAGAAAATCCAGAGAATTCCCAAGATATTTCTCCCGATGATATAATTGAACTGAAAAGAGCAATTCAAAATGGCCTTATATTAACAGAAGCATGCATATCTAATTATAAGTTCAAAGATTATTCAAATGTATTCATTTTAGACAATTATATTCAAATAATTTTGAATTTCGATAAAACATTTTCAAAATTAGGTATGAGAATACTTAGAGCATTTATTCAATACAATCCAGGCATTCTAGAAGATATTTTAGAGCGTTCAACACTTATAAATGAATTATTAACTTTTGATGAGAAACCATATATACTTCAAGAAGGAATAATATCATTAATCTTTACTATATTCGATTATATGGATGCAAGTCAATATGAAAAGATTAGTTCTTCAATTTGGGAAAAAATATTTGATTATATTGATGATTGTGATAGTATTGATACCAATTCCAGATTGATTCGAATAATATCTGACTTAGTTTCTAATGGTTATAGTATTGTCAATTTCTTACCTTATGAAGAAATTATATCCCAAATGGAAATTAAAGAAGATGCAGAGCCATGTAGAGATAGCTTTTTAGCAATGTATAAAACCGATTATGATTATTATTTTGGAGATCCATAAAAAAAAATAAAAATAATAAATTTGTTGTATTAATCAATTGTTTTTAGTCAAATCTGATCTGAATTTAAAGTTGTTCGAATCCATTTTTATTTGATTGACAGTTGTGTAAGTTAGTAATGAGAAGTCAAAAATAAGAAAATTTTTGCATATTTTTCAAGAGAATCATTGAATCTGATATGCAAAGCATTACAATAAACAAAACAATACAGTCCCGCGAAAAATGTGTCGCTATTGTGACAAGGCCGTCGAAGGCACAACAAAGCCGTCCAAGGCACAACAAAGCCGTCGAAGGCACAACAAACCTGTCAAAGGCACAACAAACCTGTCAAAGTTTTAATAAATGAGGAAACAATGATGCTCTAAAATGAAAGAAATTTAATCACATTTGGTAAATCTAATTTTTATTCATGAAATTATTGTTCCTTTATATGTGGCCATTAATATTTGAACAATAAAGCCGTAAGTAATGCATTCAAAATTTACTTCCTCTTTTTCAAAAATTTTTCCTTCCCCTTTGGCTATCAATTTTACTTCCTCATTGTAGTCAATAAATAACATCGTTGCAAAATAAAACGCAAACTAATCCCAAAAGCAAATTTAACTGTTACAAAACTCGCTTCTTCAACTACCAACTCATGATTTTGTACAAATTCCATTGAATTTGAAAAAAATAATGTTATTTTTTCCAAATATCCAAAAATATACTCTTCTTCTTGTTAGTCTATTAATACCTAAACAGCTTTCCGCATAAAAAATGTCAAATAAAATTCTAATAAAAAATACCAAAAAAATTTTGAGAGACAACCTTTGTATTGTTCCTATAAAATCATAGTTTCCATGTATTTTGTATAATTTTGTCAGTTTTTTTGAAATTTTTTCAAAATAATTTTTTCTTCAAATTTTGAATGTAATTTATTAATAATTCCGACCAATTGTTTGTAAATTAACCTAAAATCTTCTGTTTTCCGTTTTCCTTCCACGAATTGTGAGAATCAAATGGTTATAACGCGTTTAAACCATTCAACTCACACAATTAGTGAAAGGACAATGCGAAACTCAAGATTATGAGTTTAATTCTTGTGTCAGTGGAAGAAAATTATTAAATAAATTAATAATCTAGTGACATGGCGACATGTGACAATAATCTCAGTGTTTTGAAGTAAGGTGATGACTGCGATGCCTGTTTGTAGATATCTAAGATGACTTCAAGAAAATTTGGCAAAAATTTTTTGCAATTTTGTTTATCACATGGATTTATCAGCAAAATTGCTTTGTAAATCAAAGGAACAAAGGTATTACGATCTCCGTATGTCAAGCAATACGTGAAATTTGGTATTAGTCGTGACGAAAGATCTGAATTTATCAAATCTTGGCCAAGGACAGCAGATAGCCGGCCATCGGAAGCAAGGCGTAAGAAGAACAAAGGAGGGAGTCCAATGGAATACGTAAAAGCTGAAACTGGATCTTTTTTGTAAATTTCAATCAAAGCTTCGGGAGATTGAATGGATTTGAGCAATTGAGCATGGTAATTGAGGTATTTGTTGTTTATTGAAACGACATTTGCTATCAATTCTTTCATTTTCGAACGATCTTCTTCAGAAATTAAATTTATTTTCTTCAAAAGTGTATCTCTGTGGTTTTCTATCTGTTTCTTGTACTCGTCAGTTAATGAGTATTCGTAAATATCTGGTTTTCCGTCTGAAAACCTTAAAATAACAAATGAATTTTCCTTATGAAGAAAAACAGCATCTGCAGCCGTTTCTAAAGGAATCGTGTAATCTATAGTATGTATAGCATGTTCTGATAAGAAAACGAAGTCTGTTGTCTTAGTAATTGCTTTGATTTCGGAAAATTCTTTTTCTTTCGTTTTGTTTTCAATATAAATCAGAGAAACAGTGTTACCGTAATAATCTACTAAATACTTGTTGTTTACACCATAGAAATGATCATTTTCTGCAGGAATCTCGAAAACCAAAATTTCGAGCGAAAAATCGTTCCTCAGATAGATCTGGATGGTATTTTGGCGTTTGAGCATTATGTAGGTCTTCGAAACATCGAATGATTGTACTCCTTGATGTAATTTTACGGTTTTTTTGAAATTTGTTGCAAATAAAGTATTTTCCATATCTAAAACAAAAAGGACGTTAGGATTTCGTGGATCCGTCATGATGCTGAATGGATTTTGTATTAAAGTGCTATGTTTTTGACCATCAGGAAACGTGAGCGAATTTCCAGTGGAATTTGAGCACAAATAACATACATTTTGGCCAACATTCGCTGTAGAAAGTGTTTCATGAACAGGATCATTCTCACCAGTGCTAAATGTAGTTTTTGTTGATATATCACAAATAACAATGTGAGTCTCAGAATCTATCGCAAAGCTATAACGGTACTGATCAGAATCACGCAAAGGTAGAGAAGTAAATTTAATTTCTTCTTTTGTTTCGGAAAATTCTACAGATGATTTCATATTTTCGGAGTCTGCCATGGGAATAAGGTCGGCTTCAGCAGCATCTTGGGTTTCCATTACTAATGGAACTTCATTTTCTTCTGAAACATGATCACTGTCGTACTCATTAATTTCTGTAGGAAATCCATTGAAATTCGAGGGGATTACTACTTGTTCCTCTGGAATTTCTAAATTTATCTTCGACCTCTTTGGCTGCTCAATTCGAATATTCGAATTATCATCATTTTTAAAAACTCTTACCTTGGGCTGATCTATGTCCGCTTTAAAGAAAGAATAGTATCTTTCTGTGCTTGCTGATTGCTGAGAAATCTCAGATTTTGTTACATTTGTCATAGATGTCACATTTCCTGTCTTATCAAATTTACAAACTTTTATATTTTAACCCGTTAAATCTTGCTGTACATAAGCATGTCGTTTTGTCCCCATTGGGGACAATTGCGTCCCCCACTTGGGGGACGCTGGGGAACTGAAAAGTGACAAGATAAATTCGAGATGTCAGAGATTTTTAGTAAACTGTCAAAAAATAATCAAGGAATAAAGTTTTAGTATTATCATTTATTTAACATATACATGATATTATAATATGATTCTCGTGCGATTTTCGACCTTTTTCTTTAATTTTGAGCATATTTAATTTTCATTTTCCTCAAAATCCAGTTTTTTGCTCTACTTTATATGCAGAAAATGGCTTATTTATATCATATTATCACAAAACCAAATAAAATATAGACTATAAACTTTCCCCAAATGTCACGTTTTCCCCCATCCCCCATGGGGGACGGGGGAAAACGTGACTTCGATTTTTTTAATGTCTTGCTTTTACTACTTTTGGTTATTGTGAACAATATGAATCTAAAGTTATTCATTTCTTACAATCGATTGCATTAAATAAAAATTAAATTATTTATCCATTGTCAAAACATCTTTAAACATATAGCTTTTAGTATTGATTAGACATAAAAAACTAGTTTCTATACGCATTTCAGTAAATATGATTGTGCTAATGAAATCGATCTGTAGTATTGTTTATGGTTTATCAATACCGACATAATAAGTTGTAGTTGAAAAGATATTACATAGATAAGTGATATAGGATACTAAATCTTGAGAAACTCAATTCAGGACTTAAAGATTAATAATGATTAACCATACACAACAATTACAGATAGAGGAAAGCCATTAACAATCATAAAAATTATGAAATACAAGAATAATATCCTGATATATTGACTGGAAATATATATTTTAGAGATCATCAAATTATTAAATATTCTTTTTCAAGAAAGCATATAAGAAGCATAAACATAAATCATATAGTACTATAATCACAATGTTATAGAGAGGATCTTCAAGGATACTGATTTGACACTTTACAAATATGTTTGACAATTTACATGTCCCCCAGACTTCCAAAATTATTTGGTCGGATCCCCAATTGTCCCCAAAACGACATCCTTACTGTACAATATTCTTTGTTTAATCTTATAACCTTAAACTTAAGATATCCTCAGACACAATTTTATGAAATCAAGACTTAAGACTTAAAAATCGGCTTCTATTTCTCTAGTAGATACTATATTAACTTAAATCGCTGAAATTTAGAAAATAATTTGATTTCAGTTACTTGGAATTGGCCAAAATAGATTTTATTATATAATTCTTTCTGTATTTGTATTCATGTTGTTATTGGCTAATGTGAATTCCAACACAAAATGGAGGAAGTCGATCTTGAATACTCAGCACCTCAACGTTTCGACGTTCCCAAATCTATAATTGTCTTTCTTAAGAAGAGTGTTCCATTTGAAGACTCTTTTAAATGGATTATTTCTGCTGAAAACCAAGCAGATTTTTGGAATAGAGTCAATAATCTTCCTTCAAGCATTTCATTCGAAGCTCATAAATTATGTGCTCATGTTCAGCTTTCTGATGCAGAATTCCCTCAAGCAGCTCTAAGCCCAATGATAGAACAATTCTGGTTTGCACATCAGCAATCAATAGACGTAATTCCATTTACTCCAAAAGAAAGAATGATGAACGTAGCTACATCACAGATTGTTAACGATATTTTGTCCCAAGATGAAAATTGGAAATTCGAAAATCAATCTTGGATATACAAAAACGAGTTTCAATTTGATATGGTTCCACTTCTACTTGCATGTGATGCATATTATCAGAACTCAAGACCATGGCTTTTCCTTCAATATCCTCAATTACGCGAATTATATATAACAATCGACGATTTTCTTCTTCAAGCAGATCCACGTTTATCATTAGTTGTTACTAGACTATATTCTTACCTCAGAGATCTCAAAATTGAAAATGTGTCAGAATTTCTTTCTTTAATTGAGAAATATCCTGAATTCGAATTCGAATTACCCGAAATAGAACTCGATAGCGAACTTCTACAGTCATTATCCAACTTATTTGTTGAAATGAAGAAAATTCTTTGGGAATTGAACCTTCCTCCAGTTTTAGACCACCCAACCCAATGGGAAGGTGTCATAGGAGACGCTCTGGCCAACCAAATGACCCTCAGTATTGGTGACAGAGCTTTATTTGTCATGACTCCTTTAGGATTGGCCGCAAGACTCGGTTCAGAGCAAAAGGACGCTTTCGATGAATATTCCTTGGCCGATATGATGTTCTCCAATGGAGATCAGGAAGCTTTACCCCTTGGATACATGAATGTCACTTCTGAAGTGCCAAAACACTCCCCGGAACAGTTTATTACGCAGTCATTTGAGGCATTCATAGCACAGAACTTGGTCCAGGAAGGTTTTGAAAATGTTCAAGAGCCATCTGTCCAAATTTTGGTAGATGTGCTCAAGAATGAGCTGAAAACTATTTGTGATTTGGCTAGAACAAGAACGAACCGTACTCATGAATCTCCTGAAGCATGTATTAACGCTGTCTTGTAAATTTATATAAATATGTTTTTTATTCTCATATTGATACTAATCCTATATGTAATTATTTCTACATTGTGTACAAAACTCTGTAACTTTAATGTTAAGTATTGAATTTAATTAATAAAAATAAAATTTTATAAATATTACTGATTTTTAAGATGTTTTCGATTGATTTTGAAATATACTATGCCAATTCTATTGAATTTCGTTGCCAATTTGTCAAATTTCATCATATTTCAGGCAATTGAATTTGAAATTCATGTTTTTTAAAATAAATTAAGAATTTTAGCTTATTATTTAGTAAATTCGCATAAAAATTTAGCTGATTATTTGTTAAAGACAATCATTTTATTAATATTAATAATTTACATAAAATAATAAAGGTCAAGCGAGATTTTTGATAGCAGAGATGACGTATTCTGCCCATTTCTCGATCTGATCTGTTGAAATTGACTCTCCAACAGCTCTGAAATTTGAGATCTTTGGTCCAATTGCGGCGTAAGAAGCTTCGTCGTATCCATTATCATATAATACTGATGGAGCAATAGCGTATGGCATCAATCCCAACTTAAGATCCTTTCCGAAATGCTCTTTTCCTGTAGACATCAGTATAGAAACTAAAAATCCTCTTCTTCTTGGTCCCCATTGCGGCCAATTATCTTTCTCTTCGACAGTGATGTTTAGCTTCGATGTCCTTGCAGCGGCCTTGATGATCTTAGTCACTCTGTCCATACCGCCTGATGCCATGGCTAATCCTTGTAAAAGAATCTCAATTTTCTCAGAATTTATTGTCACTTTTCCGATATTAGATGCTGTTTCAAATCCTTGGTAAGGAAGGGAGTTTGTTATAACTCCTGAGGGTAACAAAGATAGGAAATTAGTTATAGCTAATGTATATTCAACTGAAAGTGCCTTTTGTGGCTGGATTTCTGTAATTATTGTGTTGAAATTCGAAGAATCAGAGCGAACATACTCCATTACAGAGGCCATATGAGCTGCATGTATTATATTTACTGCTTCTTCGCCTTTTTCTTTAGGAACAAGTATCTTTAAGTCGTAATTTGTCGAAACAGTGTATTGATAATCTCCAGATTCAAGAGATATCAGTCTGAAAGGTATCTGCGAGTGCGAGAGTTGGAATAAAACAGAGGATGCCCACTGTACGGCGTTAGCATTTACGTCAGAAACGCATCCACCGTTTAATCCACTACAAACAGCAGAAACAACGCATTGGTTCTCTTCTGGATCGTGGAAATCTGCTTTTACTGAGATATTGAAGTTCTTGCCTATTGGTCCTCCTACAACAATTTCGTCTCCATTAAATGAATTTAAATTAATTAAGGCGTTGAATGAAAGTGCAGGCCATTTTGGAATTAACGATGCTCCTTTCAATGAAAGCTCATCATTAACTGTAAAAATTAAAAGAATTGGGCCGTGTTTGAAATTGGAACTTTCATTTGCAACGTTTAACATTGTAGTAATAGCAAAAAATGTAGAAGCGGCAAAGTTAGATTTCTCTGATTTAATAATGTAGTCTGAATCGTTTTGTTCTACTTGGATTTCAGTTAATTCTCCAATTCGTGTGGCATCTAGATGAGTATGAAGTGCAATTGTACGTTTAAAATCGAGATTTTTGGCAATTTCTGCAGTAATATTTTGATTTTCGTCAATCTTTGCTTCGATTCCTATCTTTGAAAGAGAATCTACGATATATTTTGTAACTATATTTATATCTAAGAATCCATTAGATATGGTACATAGTTCAAGAAATTGTTTGACGAGTTTTGATGGTGGATTAGCAAACTTAGATAAGAGTGCTTCCATTAAAATGAAAATTTTAGAAGACTGATGCATCCCAATTTTACATTTTGTGAGCATTTTTCATCAGGATATGCTCATTGGGTTATTATTGAGCAAAAAAGATTCCATTATTCTTGTCTAACAGCTTTTAAAAGCGTTTTTATGATAAAGCATAACATAAGTAATTGCAATAAGTTAGATTAATTTCAGGAAATTTTCCAAATTTTTTTCGAAAATAAAAATATGAAAACTGTTTTTAAGAAAAAATTCTTCATTTTTATAAAAATGAAAAAAATTTGGAAAATTCGATCTCCATAAATGTATCTTATTTTTCATATTATTAATAAATATCATTGAATTGCTAACAAATATTGAGAAATGGAAATTATATTTTACCCTATAGTCAAAAACAGGATATTTGTTTTTTATTATTCATATATAACATTTATTCTCTCTATAAACAAGCTAATATAGTTAATTTGTTATACTTTCAATGCTTTTTACACTCTGCTGCTGATTTTCATCTGCTTTTTCTTCATCATCGAACTTATCTCCATCATTCAACTTCGATAATTTGATGAAGATAGGTAAAATACCAATAATTGCGATCAATCCAGATAAAATATCAGCGGCAATATAAGTACTGTATATCCACCGCAATGATGATGGATGCGTATAGTAAAATATAGCCGAAAATACGGGCATCGGTATCAATGTTGTCAATAAGGATATAATTGTTGCAGGAGTTGGTCGTTTGATTGCTTGGAAGAAGGAGATGACTAATGGTGGGATTGGATATAGCGGTATCGATAAAAAGGCTACCCATAAATAGTTCTTGAATGCCCCAAGGATTTGTTCATCTTTTGTGAAAAATGATGGAATTGTTGTCGGGAAAATAATGATAATTGAGCTGATAATAGATGCATAAACAAGTGTAATCCATAGAGAATGAAGTGTGAGCTTTACAATTCTCTTGTATTGCCGTTTTCCATATGCATAAGAAGCTGATGGCATATAAGCACTATCGAAAGCGATCATTACACATAAAGAAATAGAGTACAAACATCCAAATATATACCATGACGCTAAAACTGGATCACGAAGATTAACATGGTCAGCAACAAGAATAATAAATTTTTGCATAGCAAATTCAGGGAATACTTCAGAAAGGTTCAACACAAATGAAGCAAAGCCAACCTTCAGAGCATTCTTTGTCTCATTACTGAACTTATTGAATAACATCGAAAATTTAATTTTGATTGAAAGTTTTCCACTCCAAAGCAGCACCATTAATATTATCATAGGTATTGACTGGGATATAACTTGTGATAAAGCAACAGCCCAAATTCCGAAGTGAAGCTTCATTAAGAATAAAGGTAAGAAACAACACATATCAAGAACAATAGCAATCAATTGCATTAAGCCAAATAACCATGTTCGGCCCTCTCCTTCCAATAACCCACACAAAACGGAAAACGTGAACGTAATTATGGAACATCCAGCTGAAATGCATTCATACTTGAAAGCATTATGAGCAATTTTTGAAGATTCAGACATCAATCTAACTATATAAAATATTGATGATAGGCAAATCGCTGGATAGATAATGGCTAAAATCATTGCAACACGAAACATATCTGCAATCAATTGATTACCATCTTGTGATGTTCCACGCCCAATTAGATATGACATATGCGAGCTTGTCGAAACATTGAGCAAGTTATCGAATGAAAAAATAATAATATCAAAAATAAACAAAGATGAGAGTGTTTCCAATCCTTCTTCACCGATACCTTTTGAAACCCATTTTGTGTTGATTACTTCATAAAAACAATTGATGAATTGAAAAAGCAATGGACCAGACAGGAGCGAGAATAGTGTAGCAATAGGAGATCTTCCACCTAGACGATAGTCCTCATCAGATTCTACTTTTTCGTTGGATAGGAGGGGTTCAGAATCGATCATGTTTTGTTTGGAAAAAGTTTGATGAGATTTCAAAGTGTTTGATGGAATTTCAATCTGAAACAATTCTCAATTTTGAGAAAGATTTTAACCGCATCATACAACTTAATGAATCAATAACATTCATGAAAACAAAGACGGATATTTGAGAAGAAAATTTATAATTCGAATTTTCACGTTTTAATTTTTGTACCTATTTGCAGATACTTTTTTATTCGTTAAAAATTTTATCGATTCATTGAAATTTCTTACGATCAATTTTCTAATTTGAATTGATATATTGTCGTAATACACTGTCAATACTCTTGGGATTACATTCTTGATTCAATAGTTTTGAAATAAAATTTCAGTTGATTTTCTAGTCCATCAAATTCAAATCATCTTAAATAATGCTCAAATTTATTACATATGAGTTGCAAAATTTCAATCAAATTTTATCGTCTTTAAATATTAATTATTTTTAATTGTTTTAGCAAAATTATCTAATTTCACACAATATTTTTTTGTTTCAATAATTGAAATCATTCTCAATTGTCAAATTCGTAATAAAATGTAAATAAATATTTAATTTCGATCTAATGATTGTTGCTCACATCAGGTTTTTTTGAGCCTCACAAAAATTTATTCAATTTATTTTTTTTATTCTCTTTCAATCAATGGTCAAGGCAACTCTCTATTTTCATATCAGCGGATTCATATTTACTGATAGTACATATGTGGGCTCAACTCTTGAATATCATATTATCAGCCCAGAGAAGAATCTGACAAAGAAATACGAAATTGATTACAAAGTCGCGGAACACTGCTCCAAATCATATAATCTTACAACTTTTGATGTTACAAATGCCAAACTTATCATCAAATTAGTTAGAAAATCAATATTTGATGATGAAGTTATCGGAACAGTTAATATTCCATTCATTTTACTTCCAATCGATGTTGTAACATTAAATACACTTCCATTAATAATGGAAGATCATGATGTTGGCCCAGTTGGCATCAGAATGAACTTGCATTTGACTCACAAACAAGAACCATATAAAGGAACGTTTAAAGAACCAGTTTTATTACAAATGGATTTATCAAAGTATCTGCACTCCAACAAAGACAAATACGAGCAAAATTATATTGGTTCGACACCTAAAAGTACTGCACATCGCCGCAGGAGAAGGAATAGCACTGTTATCAATTCAATTTAACACTGTTTTTGTGACAATCAGTTGTTCAATGAATATTATTTCGTTACAAATAATATAATTTATATTTATTGCGTTATTATTTCTTTACCATTTAAAATTATTCTATAGTTGTTTAAACTTATCATAGTTATTCAGCGATATTTTGAAAATTCCTTTTTGATTTTGGATATTCGCAACATAACCCATAAATTAAGGATTGCAATACTTTCTATCATATTAACTCGACAATATACAGAGATAATGCACCAGATATAAGGATTTATAACAAAATTAGAAATCTATGAAATTAATTTTTCCATAAATATTAATGATATAAATCAGCCCGATCTGAAAAACATAAATTTTCTAATATATCGCTGTTTTCTTTATTTACAAAAAAATAATATAAAATTACGAAGAAATCTGGTATTTCGCTGCATTGTTACTGAAGAAAATTTGCTGAATTGCTAAGCTGCAGTGACCCAAAACAACCTTGAGTCTATGCTCACTGATTTTATTTCCAAGATTCAAATCTGCTCCGTTTTCGATAAGAGTCTGAATCATGCCATGCTTTGCATCAGATATGGCAACATTCAAAGGTGTTTCATCACTGCCATTAACAGCGTTGATGTCAGCACCTCTACTGATCAAGAGTTGACCAATTTCTGATTGATTGTATTCAGCACTTTTATGCAATGGTGTGCAGTTATTTGAGTCCTTTGCATCTACGTTGCAACCGCATTCGATAAGGATCTCAGCTGTCTTTGTACTGTTGTAGATGGCTGCTCTGTGCAATGCTGTGTACTCGTAGAAATCTTTTGCATCAATTGAGCATCCATTTTCTATTAAAATCTTCGCAGTTTCGAATGAATTCGACATTGCAGCTCTATGTAAAGGAGTATCACCACAGGAATCAACGGATGAAACATCAGCACCTGCTTTAACTAATAGAGAAGCTATTTCAGGATGGCAGTATTCAGCTGCTAAATGTAATGGAGCGTATTCATTGTACTTAACTTTTTCATCATATTTACAACCATTTTCCAATAAAACTTTTGCAATTTTTGTACTGTTGTAAATTGCGCATCTATGCAATGGTGTGTAGCCAGAGTTATCCTTTGCATCAACCTCTGCTTTGTTTCTGATAAGTAAGGAAGCAAATTCAACGTTATCGTATTCGATTGTGTAGTGGAGAGGGGTCTTTCCATCTTCACCTTTCGCGTTGACATTTGCTCCTTTCTGAATTAATAATTCGCAGATGTGTGGGATATGGAACAGTGGTGAGTACTCAAGGTTCTTGTTGATGTTCTCATTTAAGTCAATACAGAGAAGATATGCTTGCAAGTTCCTGAACTTTGCGCATGTTCTTGGAATAATTTTGTAATCTTCATTGTTCAAAAAGTATATCATGAAGTCCATCTGGTGAGCCGCACAGGAATTGTAGATACATTCATTGGTAGGTTTCTGATTTGCCATGCATTCTTTGACAATTTGGGAATTTCCATCAATGAAGGACAACTCAAGGCATTTTGGTGAGATCTTTGAGTTATATTCTGAGCGAATGTACTTGAAGACCTTTTCTGAGCCAAAGTATGAGCAAATCTCAAGGACGTTTAAACCAAATTCGAATGGATGCCAAACTGTTTGAGAGACATCAAATTTTGATGCTTGAACCTTTTCTTTGAATGTATCAAGGTCATCATTCATTACAGCCTCTAACAATGTTCCTTCTTCATAGACATATAAGAATTCATCAACTAATCCATCGGTAAGACACTGAGAGAATGATATTTCCTTACCAGTTTGGATGTTGTGGTTGATGATTTTAGGGAATGACTCGACATAGTTGTCGATTTTCTCAATTGGATGATATGCATCATAAATCATACGGAAAAGAGCCCATAATGATTTAAGATACTTGAGCCTGTACTTACTAGCCTGATCGATATCCTTCAGAAGTTGCATGACTGGAATTTTGTACTTTCCAATCAAAACATTTTTGATCTTCTGAAAAATTTCGAGGATCTCGGATTCATCATGTGTTTTGATCTTATAGATGGAGTCATAGGCATCTATATAGTCACCATATAATGGGAGGAGATCGTAATAGACATGGAGCACACCCTCCTGGGAGGTCATGAAACGAAATCATCCTATTTTATTCAAATCAAATTCTTCACAAAATTGTTAAAGTTTTAAAGTACGCCGATTCCGACAAGGTTGTTATATACATACCAGAGACCAATATTTTGTTGTTTTCACAATGGAAAAATTTGAGAGAATTGCTGATTCAATTGATTGATTGAAATGCAATAAAAAGTGTCAGCGAAGTAATGAATCAGCCATTCAAAATTTATACATTTTATATTCTATGAGATCAATTTGAAAGAATCTGCTTCGAGATGTTGAGAAAGACTGTTTTCATCAATTTTTTTGTGTTCGTATGAAAATTATGTCCTAATTTGTAAAATGAGATAATGATTAGCAAACACATATGCGTTATATGATTCATTACCTTTTTTTGAACAAAAATTAATCTATATTATTGTAATATCAGATCGAATAAACCTAGGATAGTTATAACGATTTGTATTTGACTGAGAATATGTGAAATATTATGCATTAGAACCTAAATTTAACCATAAAAGCGATTCCAATTGTGTAATTGTTCAAAATCATTTCAAATGAGAGGGTTTTCTGAAGCTTTAGCTCCATGGTCAATGCAGAGAATAGTATAAGTATTAACATAAATATTATTGTGAACAAATCACTCTGGGCATATGAACGCAATTATCTGAAATAATTTTCATATAAAAAATTCTTAATATTACAAAATAGAATAGTTAACTAACAGTGAAGTTGATGTTTTAATACAGTTTGCTAATAATTCACAAATTGATAATAAATTTCCTCCAGTTTAGTCAATATTTCAATTTAGATACAAGAAATCAAACACATGAATTAATACAGATATATGAAATAACTTTAAGGACAGTGATATCAAAAATCAAATATAAAAGTGACATCGTGCACGTTTAATTAAGCATGGCAGTATCAAGGCTTTGTGCAAAATATCAGAAATGTTATGAAACAGGAGGCGACACATCTGGAGTAGAAGATATGCTTGCTGTTGTTTTCAATAAGTGTATTGAGGAAGATTCTTTCTACGATCTTCCAATGCAAGGAATTTGCAACATTGTTTCAAAGAAAAACGAGCATCTTTCTCTCAAAGAAGCAGATCAACTTGTTTCCAAACTTGCAGAGAAGAAAGGACAGGAAGCTGCCAAAATTTTATCAGTTTTAGATATTGGCCCGGTTGGATACTTCGATGCAGCAAGTACAGTTTCACCACTTCGCATTTGTCCAGTCATAAGAGAACTTCTTGATGCTCGTCCTGTTACAGCAAGGACAGGAGGCGATATTAGACAACTTGAGAAGAGAATACAAGAATTAGAAAAGAAGAATGCCGAACTCAAGAAAGAGAACGAAGAGAACAAGAAGAAATTACGTGCGAAATCCGAATCTTCCCAATCAAAAGATTTGGAAGAAAAATTATTTTTACTTCTTCCAGATGAGAAGGATATTGTAGAAGCTTCCGAGTCAGGAAATCTCAAAGCAGTCCAATACTACGCAAAAATCAAACCGAAATCCATCAATCTTGAGAATGAAGAAGGATATTCCGCATTACAGATCGCTTGCCTCAACAGCCACGACGATGTTGCAGAGTTCCTCATTAAGAACGGCGCTGACGTCAACCATTCCCATAAAAAAGGAGATACAGCCCTTCATTTTGCTGCTCTCGGCGGATCCCTTTCAACTGTTGAGCTTCTTCTCGCATCAGGTGCCAGACTCGATGCCGTTGACTCTTCCCAGATGAATGCTCTCAATTATGCAGCTCAAGGAGGAAATCTCGACGTTGTCAAGTTTTTGGTTGAAAAAGGACTTGATCCTCTACGTGAAGCAGATGGGACAACCAACATTTGGTTCGCTGCTTACTCTGGAGATGTCGAAACATTTGCTTATTTCATTGATATGGATATTGATAAGGAGAAACCAAACAAAATGGGAGAAACACCATTACACGCTGCGGCTATGAGTGGAAATGTTGACATTGCTGATGTTTTGATTGATTTCGGACTAGATCCACACGCAAAATCGCTTTCTGGCTCAACACCACTCGATGTTGCCACAGAAGAAGAGATGATTGACTTTTTACAAGGCATAGAGTTCGGTGGTGATGAGGATACCGAGGAAGAAGAATAAGATATTTTGTATTGATCCAATTCGATATTATTTGTGAACTTTAAAATGTACTATTACTTTATATATTCAATAAACTGTTTAATCATTTAACACATCATCATTCTCTTATAGTTATTTCATGAAATTATTTCAAATTAACCGCTAAATCATAAAGTTTTAGACCAATTAAGAGAACTACTCCAATTATCTCTGGAAACGAAGTTAACCTTCACACTCTTATGCCTGAAATCCCAAATGTCAGGAATATCTTTCAAAGTTACATCATTTTTTTTGAGAAACTAGCACACATTTTGCTTATTTACAGCAAGCCATTGGCAAATATGAGGTAATATAATATTTTATGAGTTCTATCGGGTGATGAAATTGAAAAGTTTATATTATCGTTGTCAATGTCGAACAGCAATAACAATATTAACTATGCAGCAGTCTGCCGCGGCAATACAATTTTAGCCCAGGCAGCCATTACAAGTGGCAACTTTGATTCTGCAATTGTTGATATAATTGGTAAAATGGATCCAAACCAATCTCAAGTTATGACAGAAAAGGGCCAATACCGCTATTTTGTTATCCATGATCAGCAAGGACTTAACTTCATTGCTGCTGGTGCAACATCCGTTCAGGCTAAGCTCGCTTTCGAATTCCTTGAGAACGTTCAAAAGAGATTTAACCTTCAATATGCTCGTATGTGGAGAATAGTTCCAGCTTACGGCATGCAACAGGAGTTCGGATCCCAAATCCAATCCCTTATTACTTCAACTAACAATGATAAAATCCGCACAATCAAATCTAACATCGCAGCAACACAGGAAACAATGACAGAAGCCATGCAAAATGCTCTCCTTCGTGGTGACAAGATTGAAACAATGAATGAAAAGGCAGAAGTCATGGCAGCTAACGCTAAGGAATACGAAAGATCAGCTACACGTGTAAAGAGGAAGATGTGCTGGGAGAGATATCGTTGGTATCTTATCGGCATTGTTTGCGTCATTGTTCTCATTTTGATCATTGTACTTATTGCATGCAAGGGATTCAAGTGCAGCCACTCATCAACAACACCAACACCAACTCCAATCCCACCTACTCCAACTACAACACCAAATCTTCAGCCATAATTTTTTATCAAATTTTATTTTAAAATAAATACTTTTGGCTCTCTGTATTTACTTTATTTACTCTTATTGATTATAATTTTCCTGAAAAATCTTCAGAAAATTTTTAAAATCTTGCGTGAGAATGAAAATTTATCTATTTTCCATAGGAAACTACTACTAGTATATACCTTACCTAAGAATTCAAGCTAGGAAATGCAAAACTATATGATATTCATTAATTACGATCATAACTACAGTTGAATTTGTAGTTCATGATAGTAAATTCCGAAAATTCGTAGGTGCCATTGTAAATACTACGAATGAAGACAGAATTTTGAGACGTTTCCATGAAAGATTATAAGAATCGTATCAACAGCGATAATTTCCACAGTGTGAAATTCTGAATAAAATAAGGTTTGACAATAAAATTCGATAAATATGATTAACCATCTCTATCGGCCCAAAAGATTTAATTTCGCATTTCATCTATTCGCTAATGAATTTTTTCAATTTATCTGAATTTTTTTATTTGTTCATAATAAATTGTTGCAATTTAAAAACAACATCAAAATTTTCCATCGTCACAATTTAAAAAATTCGATTAATTCGATCCAAAATTAGTATCACAGAATTCGTCATAAGATTTGCTATGCATTTTTATAAAAATCTTTTATTGATGACGATAATACTTTTTGAGTCGCACCTTAAATAAGTAAAGGTACATTCACTAGGCGATAACAGTAAAATGGGATGAAAATAGGATAAATAGCATCCCTATATAGTGCCTAACAATATTTATACGGGCCAAAAAAAATTTGGCTAGAGATTTGGCTAGTTAGAAAATTTAGAAAATTGAGAGGAATTTTTATTTTCGAATTTTTTTTGGAAAGTTAAAATTGTGATTAAAAATCGTTTTCCGGGAGAACTAAGCATCTTATCATATATTTAAATCGATAAAAATATTAAATAATAGTTGAATAGTATAAATACATGAAATTATGGCTGAATATACAGAAAAAATGAACATATTTGACATTTTTGAAAATTCATACATTAGTTGGTGACAGACTCATAAACTATACTTTAGCTAAGATTGATATATGATTTCAACAACACATGGTTAAAATCGTAAAATTTTTTTAGATTTCAAAAAGATATATATGGTAATATAATGGAACAGAGTCAGCAAATAGCATGTAAAATATGTTACAATTAACTTTTTATTATATCCAATAGTAGATATCGAATAGTTTCCAGCTTTATGGTTAAATATTTTCTTATCGAGCTTCTCTTTAACTGTTGTATTAAGGTTGTAAATTTTTGATGCTAGAAACTATGGAATCTTCTTTGCTGCTGCATTTTTCTTGAGAGTTCTTGCAATTTCGAATAGATCTGCGCATTGTATGAAATGGAGGCTTTAAAATATCTTGAAAACAGAATAGGACTGCTTTTCCAAAGGAATGCTTACTTGTAAATCAGAGAGTTTCAAAATTGACAGCAAGATTATCATCATAACTTTCGATTTTGCTGCGAAAAAGGAAGACAAGTAATTAACAAATCATTTACTGTTGTTCATCAAAAGAAGAAAACTTTGATAACAACTAATGATGATAAGATCAAGCTATCTTTTAATATTTTAAATTGATAAGACATTCAAAATATTTGAATGGTTTAAAATATTTTCTTTTAATTTCAATAATATATTATCATGATTATATAATCAAATTTAAATTTTTATTCAAAAAGGCAATATTTCAAACTTTTAATTTCAATAATCTTAATTCGGCAATAAATGTATTTAATTGTAGCAAATTTAATGATTCTTCGTCATGGTTAGCAATTTGGAGCTCATAAATTAATGATTTCTTCAAGTAAAATTCTGCATTATTTCAAAAATCAATAATTCTCTAGTAACTTTTCTTCAAACCCTAACCATTATAATATATGTAAAATAGAAAATAATTGCAAAGAAAAATAGCCGAATTTACTGGGTAGTTCTTGTGATGCGAAATAATTGGAAATTAACACCTAGTTTTAACAGCATCATTCTCTTTTTGCTCTCATTTAAATGCATTCGCACACTTTAATTTTGAAATATAAGAGTTTTGGAAATTATCAAATTTATCTGCTCAAATACTATAGATCTTCATAAGTGTTAATAGAATTACAAGGCTTACATATAGTGTTTAATATAATGATGCACATCATACTGGGATTTATTCCTTATTCATCTAGTTATTATAAGATTTACAACCCCATGAAAATTTAAAATTTTGTCAAAAATAGTGAATGTACCTTTAAATAAGTATATCAATCATTTTAGTATACATATATACACTCATCAGTTTTGCATAAATTTTATTAATTTATAAAATCCTTTCAATTTTGAATAAATAACGATAACAAAATCGATCCATTTCCAACATTTATGTCTAACTATGTAGCAAACTAACATTTTTAAAATCAATCATACTCTTATTTAATATTTTCATAAACAATAATTTTCAGTGTATCATTTCAATAATTTTTTGATGCTTAGGAGTCGTAAATCATCTAAGGATCCACAGAACAATCGAAGAAGAGTAACCCGCCATTTCCTTTCTCCACATGATAAAGAAATCATCGATGAGTTACTCAAGGAAAATTTAGATGCGTTGCAAATTGCCCAAAAGTTGAATCATCAGCCAAGACAGATAAAAGACTACATAAATCGGTTAAACAAAAACCAGGTCAATAAGTTTACCATAGAAGATGATGAAAAACTTATAATGCTCTACAACAAAAATATCAAAAAAGAAAGTAAGCTCGTAAAGTACTTTCCTGACAAATCATCGTGGATGATTCGCAACAGAATTAAGCTTCTTAAGAGAAGAAATCAGCTTGACCCTACTCCGATTCAACCCGTCATAAAATCTTCTGAGGTCGAAACCAATCCGAAGATAAAACCACTCTCAATACCACCGTTGATCATACCACAGCCCACCCCACCTACCGAACATTTCAAACCTTTTGGTTTAGAAATCATTCCACCATTGAATCCAAACAATTCGTACAATCCATATACCAATACAATCCCTATGAAATTCCCATCATTGGAACCTATTCGTCTTGATCTAATTCACTTATTTTGATTAATTTTTTTTGACATTTCTTTTTCGCGGTCATTTTATGCCTTGTTTCCATATATCATTGCAGTATAGTAGATGGTCATTACGGAATTACATACATTTCTTTTTCATTTAGTTTGGAACATTTGAATTGTTTCAAATTAAGGAAACTTACACATCCAATCAGATCTCCTTCAATTGGAATATCAACACATCTACTAATATTGCTTGATTACTACTTGAATTTGTTTTTTCAGCAGACATAATTGTTTTATATTAATAATAAACATCATGATTATTTTTCAATCTTTTAAATTTATTCTTACTCTTTTTGAAACATAACCCTTGTATAACGAATTAAGAAATAATAAAAATTTTAAAAATTTATATCCAAAGTTTGCCTCAATAGATATACATTAGCAACCATATGATTGACATGACATCTATATCAATTTTTTACTACCGAAAGTCTTTAAACCCATCAATATTATAAAAAAATCTAACATTAGCCAAAATTTCTTGTTTTCTCACAGATCAGTAATGGATTCAATTCCATATATAAACTGAGAATAATAATGCATCATATAGACAGCAGAAATAGCAACACATGACAAAAATAAATGAGCTGTTATCAATGATAAGCATTTGGCAGAGGAAATTGGCAGACATACGAAAAGATATTTAATGATGTTGTTGAATATACTAATGTTGCATTTGGTGAACAGTGTTGAGGCATCAAAAGTGAATTATATGGGATAGATCTATTAATATATGAACTTTTCATTTGATGTATTAAAGCTATTGTTTCATCTGGAGTAAATCATCAGAAATTAACTCATTGTATGCATTTTAAACGCGGAAATAAGATGCTGAAAGTGTTAAGATCATAGTTGAAAACATTGGCGATAATACCAAAGATAATGCTGAAAAATCATCTATTTACAGGGCAGCTCAAATTATATAAAATGAAATTTTTCATCTTTTCTTTAATGACCTGAGATTGATTCACAGCGTCTGCCTTTATTAATCCCCTTTAACTGGAAATAAGATGCAAATATAAATAATCAAGGAGGATACACAGCGTCTGCCTTTTTGATAATTGTTATAGGTCGTCAAACAACTAATCTTATATTCCCACAAGAATCTGTCACATCTTCCAATGCAATTTGAGTGCAAATAGTGATATTTAAAGTTATGTTATTTGCATTCAGAGGTCTGTAGATTTCATACACAAAAGTGTGCATCATCTTCCACATTCTGTCCTAGCTAATCACTCCGTAATAATCGTTTTTCATAAATATATTGTTGATAACTTTTTAAACTTTGAAAATATACATCTCCGATTCTATCTACTTAACAACCGATGGTATTAGCATATACCTCTCATAGCTAACTAGTTAATGAGTTTTTGATATTGTCAAATTTTAGAAAAATTCCCCCTTTTTTTGGCTCAATAGGGTTAGCGAAAATTTATGACTACAGAAGAAGGCTGCTGCTGTTGCAATGGAAATTGTCTATCATTAGACTGCCCATGCTTTAAACGAGGCGGAATTTGTGGTCCAAACTGCAAATGCCAAAATTGTAAGAACAAATCCGGCTGGGACACGGAGAGATTGAATGCCATTGAAAATATGCTTTCACAAAATACTGTAGCTTTTACTTCTACAGATCAATTATATCCAGAAGAATATAATTTAATATCAAATTTTGCCATGCTTTCATCTTCGATAGATTCAGAGCAATTCCACTCAAAGCAACGCGATATACCAATATCACGCTTACTAACACAAGAAGTTACTCAACAAGCCATTAAAACTGTAATTTCTGCTGCACACAGGCAATATAATAAGCAACCTGCAGCAGAAAATATTGAAGAATTACTAGAAAACTGCGTTTCTTCTGAATTTGAAAACGTCCTCAAGGCAATTTTATCTGCTGTACAACAACAATCAGCACAGTAATTGATTGAACACCCTCTTACTATTTTTATTTATACCAAATATTATATTGTATTTTATAGAGTTAATGAGATTGACAATTTCTCATTTTTTAATTTGAATAAACAACTAAGTTTTAATGATTTGAGTCATGAGATTTGAAGTATTTTATCAGTTAGATATACCATAATCGAGTAATAATTTTTCGATTTTTAATCAGGTTGGTTTCAAGCCATCTATTGGCATACGTTTGATTTGCAATATTATAAAATTAGTGTTTTGCTAATAGATAGTCCAGAAAAATCAATTTTTTTGTAGATATTTCTGACTTTCTTCTTTAAAATATGAAATTACTTGTACAGCTGTATTGTAAAAATGACTTCAATACAATGTAGACAAATTATGCTCGGTAATACTTCAATTTGAATGAAACTCAAATTTGGGAAATCTGAAATTTCTATCATTGATTCCAAATTATGGTCTATGATATTTTAAATGATGTTTACATACTAATACAAAAAAAAAAAAAAAAAAAAAAGGTAGTGGGGCTTCCAGGGGCTGCGCCCCTTCTAGCCCTGAAGATGTTTAGTATAAATGAAGTTCTTATATACGGGTCTTCCAGGAGCTTTTCACAAATTATATATGTTTTCATGTTTTGTCACTTTTCTGTCACTTTTCAGGAAAAAACATTTTTATTATTATATATAAATGAATTTTACAAAACCACCGTTACCGTTCTTTGGAAATAAGAGTAAATGTAAAGATATTATATTGAGAGAACTTAAGAAACTACCGAATGGTCTAACATTTGTAGATTTGTTCGGTGGAAGTTTCTATATATCCCATTTATGTCATACAATATTCCCAGACTCAAAGATTATATGCAATGACTTCGACAACTATATGGACCGTCTCAAACATATTCCAGACACAAACAATATATTGAAAGAGTTAAAAGAAAAGATACCTATAGGTAAGATGGAACGTATACCATTAGATAAGAAAAATATTGTGAGAGAGGTTTTGAAAAAAGCAGAATATATAGACTGGGATAGTATATCTGCTAGACTATTATATAGTGGTTCTATAAGAGTTCATGACATTGAAACACTTATGTCAAAAGTTTTATATCTTAACTATACAAATGTTTTCAAAGAGGACATAGAAAAATATATTGAGGGTATAGAGTTTGTGAGATGTCATTGGACAGAGTTGTATGAAAAATATAAAGACAAGGAAAATATTTTCTTTATAGTGGACCCGCCGTTCTATAACACATGGGATTTTCAATACCAAGTAGACTGGACTTTGAGAGACTCTTTAGAAACTTTAGACGTTTTACATAACTGTCCATGCTTTTACTTTACATCCGATAAAAGTGGTTTGGAAACCGTTATGAGATGGTTAGAGGACATACATGACTATGAGTTTAGATATGACAAGATAGAATATGAGAGAGGTCCTATAAACCGGAGAAAGTGTCATAACAAAGAAATTTTATTAGTAAGTAAATGTGGTTTGAAATAGGACTACTTGTTTTAGGTTTTTTCCATTGTGTCATTTATTTATTTGACGTGGCAGAAAGGTACAGAGAATATGAAGATGAACCAATGCCTGCAAATGTTCAGTATATGTACTCGTAAGAGATATTTTTATCTAATATTAAATGGACGCACAGAACTTAGCGAATGCACAGCAACCTGGACAACCAAACCCAGAGAATATTCCAAATGAAGTTAGAATACAAACTGCAATGGCAAACTATGGTCAAGTGCCAACAGATGTACAAATGCAAACTGCCATGTCAAATGACGCTGCGTTAGGTTTGCCACCATGGTATGCAAATATGAGATGGAAAGAGTTTTATACAAACCCTGAAGTGGGATATAAACAACTTTATGCAGATGACGCGAACACAGGAGTTGACCCAGAATATGTTTTCTACCAGAGGAGAAACAGAATGTATGAGCTCCAGTTAAAGAATGCTATGGAACTCAACAGGAAACGTAAGAGACTAGGTGGACATTAGATTTTTACATATAGTAAAATGGGTTTCTTCAGTAGTATTGGAAACTTCTTCAGAAGAGTTGGAAGATGTATATGGAATGGAATAAAATCTGTCGGAAGAGGAGTATGGAACGGAGTCAAAAATATTGGTAAAAGAGTAGGTCAGTTCGTTGGTATTATACCTAAAGACCCTGAACCAGAAGAACAAGCTCCTGTTATACAACAGCCTGAACCTGCACCACAGTCTAGTTGGCAACCAAATCCAACACCTCAACCGTATTAAAAAATTATATTTTTACCGTTCGATAGTAGTTGTATATGAAACTAAGTTCTAAGTAAAACGCATGGTATAATGGAATTATTCTTTTTCTTCCATCTGTAGTAAACCATACTTGAAAGTCTGAAATACTTCCACTTGGTGGTTCATATAACTTTGTAGGTTTTTCGTAAAAATCATTCATCAGACATAAGAAAGAGTTTTGTGCACCAGAAAATGAAGCATGAACGATAATAGCATCTGGGTCGAAAACATTTTCATATGTTCCATTAGGGTTTTCGACTTCATAAAAGTCCGGGTGTACTGGATATTCTGCAGGCTGATTTAACATCCTCATAAATCTATACCATGCCAAGTTGTTATATTTTGTAGAAATATAAACGTTTTCTCCAAGGTCTTCTATTCTATTGATTTTAACAGTTGCATTTTTCCTGTCATAAATAATATCGAGATGGTATTCTCCTTCGTCAATGTTATACTGCTTTGCATATTCGATATAGATATCGTTTATTTTTTCTTGAAAAGCTTGAAGAGTTGTTTCTAAGTTTACAAGCAAATTCACTTGTAAAAGTTTTCCCTGTTCAAATTTCTCATACATACGTTTTTCTTTGTTATAGTATCGAACTTCAAAACCGACTGTAAATGGGAAACCATGTATGGCTTCTGAAATGAACTTCATTCTACGAAAGCCAATAGCTTTTGTGACGGATGGGTCTCTTAACCATCTTAACGGGTAGTCAAAACGATAGCCTTCATGCTTTACGGTCTCTGTCTCAAACTTTTGACCTACATTGGTAAAAAGTTCATCTAATGGTTTAGTTGTAGCAACTCTAGAATTTTCTTTTTCTATTGAAAGCATATTTTATCTAGAATAAAAATGTCAAATGAAACAGCGTCTATGAGAGAAATACAACACAACCGACAACTCATTATACAAGCTCTAAATAAGAACACAACAAACTTTTCAAACTATTCTAAGATATCTGAGTCATTGAAAGAAGGAAATTTAAAACTGACAATAAACCCAATGACAGATGAGTTTCTATTTCAAGACAAGAAGAACAATACTGTCTGTATAAATCCAACAAAAGGAACTTTAAACGAGAAACCTATAAATGAACTTCTTTTGAAAGCAGATGTTGACAACAAAGCTGACAAAGAATATGTAGACGATGCAATAGCAAAAGAAGAAGAAAGAGCTAACAATGCTTATGCAACAAAAGAACATACTCATCCTGAACTAGCAGACAAAACATATGTTGACAATAAAATGTCAAGTGAAGTGACAAGAGCTGAAAACGAATATTCTAAAAAGACTCATATACATTCTATATCTGATATTACAAACTTACAAGAAACATTAGAGACAAAAGCAAATAAGACTCATACACATACCATTGCAAATATTACAAACTTACAAGAAACCTTAAACAGGAAAAGTGACGTTGGACATACACATACCATTGCAAATATTACAAACTTACAAGAAACCTTAAACAGGAAAAGTGACGTTGGACATACACATACCATTGCAAATATTACAAACTTACAAGAAACCTTAAACAGGAAAAGTGACGTTGGACATACACATAAATCCTTCACTACTGTTAGAGCAGACGACATAATATTGAACTTTGACCTTGGTTCAAGTGCACCTTTAGAGAATCCAAGCACTAGTGTAAAAGATACTCTTAACAATTTAGATAACAGTTGCAGGAATATCGAAGATCATGCCAGAAACTTTGAAGCATATGAACTACCAACAATGTTAGATAAGAAAGCAGACAAAACAGAGCTTCAAACATTAAAGACAGAAATACTTCAAACATTATATCCTATAGGCTCTATTTATACGTCAATGAACTCTACCAGACCAGAAACAGTTCTGGGTTTTGGAACTTGGACTCAAATAGTCGACAGGTTTTTGTATTGTGCAAACTCTTCAAAGGAAACAGGTGGAAGTAAAACGATTTCAGGTGAAAATTTACCTGCACACAGTCACTACATAGATTTAAGTACATCTCAAGCAGGTTGGCATAGTCATAGATTTTGGGATTGGTCAGGAATGACAAAAGGTAAAGGATATGATGTTAAAGAGGACGTTAAGTTTGCTATAAATTGTTACTGGAATAACACTGAGGGAGGAGGATACCATACACATCGCGTTTCAGGGTATACGCAAACAACGGGACAAAGTAAAGACTACATGCCACCTTACATGACAGTTTACGCATGGTATAGAAATGCTTAGTCGTCATTTTCAACTTCTTTAGCATATTCGTCAGGAGTTGTCTTATATTTGTTAGGAACTGTCTTTGAAAGTATACCACCTTGAACTTTGACAAGTTTGAAACGAGGTCTGGCAATAGTAGTTTTATCTTCTGCTTGCAGTGTGTACATTTTGCCATGTTTGCCTAAAACTTCATAATATTCTCTTGTATACTTTCTTCTATTTTTACGAACACGAATGTGAGTACCTGTCGGGTTCCCATTGTTGTCATAGTCAATAGTATTTTCATATGGGTCGCGTTTAGGTATTTCTATTTTTACTTTGTCACCTTTCTGAAGTTTGAAGCCCGGCATTCTTTCTTGTTTGTCTCTTTTGACTAAATTATTAAATATATAGTCTTTCTCTAAGTCAGGGTTGTTTTTCATTCTTCGGGGGAATGGTTTCCCAAACCTTTTTGTTTACGGCTATTGTAAATATTTAAAACTTGTCTCATCTTTGCCATGGAGAAGTGTCTATATTTGTCGTCATATGACATTTCATTTGCTTCACCACCTTGTGGTTGGTTTAAGTCTCTTAACATTTTTATACAACCGTCAATGACACCAAGAGCAGAATGGTTTTGGTCGACAATGAAATATTGGTTTACATTTTTTGAACGCAGATAGTTTTTAATATCGTCTGATTTGAAAGAACTTTCACAGTCAGATGTCAGTTTTGTTGGATGGTATTTGTCAACGAATATTGTCAAAGCAGTTTTCACATCTAAAATATTTTTGGACCATAATGGTATGGCTTCACAGTATCTTGTGTTTTGACCGACAAATATTAGCCAGTATGGTGGTCCATCTGTTCTAACTCTCGGAATGTTTTCCAAGATATCCATAAACCAAGCATTTGGTGTTGAACTAAAGATTTTTATCATGAGTGCTTTTTTTGTTGCCTTAGAAACATAGGGGTCCTTGTTTGGATTCGTCATTTTTTAACCCATAAGAAATGGGTTTATTTGGCGCATTAGCAGGAGTCGCATCTAGATTTTTACCCGCAGTGGGAACAATAGCCAGAGGTGTATTTGGAGTTGGAAGGAAGATTTTGAGTACATTAGGTATACTTAAAGAGAAAGCACAACCTATTATACAAACTGTACAGAAAGGTTGGGATGTAGCACGAGATGCAACAAATCTTATTCCAAATCCTGAAACAAGAGGAAAAGTTCAAGGATGGATGGACAATGTAGGAAGACAAGCAGGAAACTATTATAACAAAGCAAATGACTACTATAACCAAGCAGGACACTATTATGGACCAGGTGAAAGATTCTTTAACAGAGGATATAACCATGCACAACAGTGGGTAAACAATAACCAACCTCAACCGCCTCAAACTTGGGGAATGTAAAATTTTTTTACTGAGATGAAATGAACAATACAGCATTGAGACAAATGGGTTCAAGATGGATTTGTCGGCTTCCAGCAGTTACACAAACGTGTTTGTCAAGTTCTTCCTATACCTCAGGAAGTTTTAGACCGACTTAAAAAACCTAAACAACCAGTTGAAAAACAAACCAAAACTAAAATTTTTACTGAGATGAAATGACCGAAGAAGTTGAAACGGTAGATTTGACACCACAAACAAAAAGTTCAGAACCATTGTCAAAACCTGTCAAAGAACTTACAGATGAAGAGAAAATTCAATAATAGAAAGTGCCAGGTCTGGAAATACAAACCCTAACTACAAAAGTCACTTTTCATAAAAATGGAACGGCTAGTATCTCAAAAAAGAAACAGACTCTCACAAATAAAATATTGAAGTCTGAAGGAGCTTTCGAGACAACAGATGGAAAAGTTTACTTCACTGACCAACAGTTCATTATAGAACATCTCATTGACTTAGAGTCGAAATATTCTAAACTTTACAACAAACACAAAAAGTTGAAAGGAAAACAAAACAAATGGCATATGATATTTATGAAGATGTTGACGACACAACTGTTCCTGCAAGTGAAGTAAAGTCAGAGAAACCGAAAAGTGACGAAAAAACCGATAGAAGAAGAAAAACCAAAAACTGAAGATAAACCAAAACCAAAGTTTAGTTTGGAAACTAAACCAAGTCAACCTTCATTAGCTGGTATGGGTTGGCGTCAAAGACTTATGGCAGCAGGCGGTTATGTAAAGTAAAGAAAAAATATTTTTTTATTTTTATAAAAATGCCCCCATATAGAATGGATAGAAAATCTGCTAGAATAAAAGCAGAGTTGCAAAGATATGGTTGGAGAGTTTCGAAGAAGTTTAAATATAGGAAGGGAAGACCCATAAAAGTCTATGACAAATTGTCTGGTCTTCGCTACGAAATGGATTTGGAAACAGCACGTGCCAATTATCCAAACAGACTAGAGAGGTTAGAAGAAGAACGTCTTATGGACATGCCTTTCGATGTTAGTGAACCTCAAGTTGAAGGACACGACGGCTTTGCCAGATTCTACTGGAAACATGACGAACAATTGCATCCTTTGAGAAGGAAAAAAGGAAAAGGTGAAGACACACATGCTCCCATGGAAAGAACAAGATATGCATATGAAAAGTACCGTGAAGTTAGAAGTCAAATTACATCTGGTCGAACTTTTACAGTAAACTTTGACGAAGGAAAGAACAAAGAAGGCTTCATGGGAGTACTTGCTGCCATACAAGACGGAAATAAGAAAGGACACAATCTCAGATTGACCATAACAGATTTGGATGGTCACATTTACTATGCACATGGCAATGTCACAAAGCTGCAATGCTTCTTGACGCTTTCAAGACTACAAAGAGAGAACAAATGGTTGACTCCGACTCAGACATTTTGAATGCAATTGAAGGAATTGCAAGTGTCAAGTTCGAATGGTACCAACCTAACCCTCAAGCAGTCAGACAACATGCTGGACCGTTGGGAAACTTGTTTGTTAGATGAGAAATATGAAATGGCATACCATTTTAAAACAATATATTTTTACATATATTAAATGCTTCAGGTTGAAAAACAAAGAACAAAAGTAACAGATACAAAACCGTTAGACTATATCTTTACAAATGCTGGTAGGACTATTTTCAGATGAAGAAATTTCATCCCGAGCATACAGGTTTGACTATCCAATTCGTTGGCTTCAAAGTCCTTCAGATGCAAAGGCAATAGGATTTAGAAGAGTTTTGTTTTCAAATAGAACTAACGCATTTATGTTCGCAGTATATTTTCATGGGCAGTATAAAGGTTCTGATGGTCTAATAGACAAATTTGACGAAATGAGAATCTTTACAGTTCGTTCAGACGAAAGTCTTGAGAAAACTCTAAATGACTTTCAAACTCAAATGAACAAATATTATTGGGAATTTCAAGAAAAATACGACTCTTTACTAAATGGAACATACTATCTGAAACTAGAATATGACAAGATGAACTCCACCGTTTCATTTCAAAAGATTGAAATTAACCCTCCAAGAGATACAGAGTTTTTATTTTGGGGAGTAGACAAACGTTCTTGGGCACAATTTCTTCGGTTACTAAACCAGAACGAACCATTACCACCAGATGGTCCATTTAAATTTATACTTCCACCAGCAGATTTGACAGTTTATAGAAACGTGTTTGACCCTCAAAATGTTATGTGTCATGCAAGTTTCAGTTCAAGCAACAATAGTTTTCTATGTATTGGTAAGGACTTTTATGACTTTGCTTCTAAATTCTACGAACCACCTAGTAACAGTTTCTCTGACTTTCAAGTTTGGTTCACAACAAATGGTGTGCAACATATTGTTCCATTGTACTATGACTTTTATCTCGAATTGTCTTTCATATATAACTACGGAAAAGTGCTGAAAAAGTATTGAAAAATAAAGTTTAGGTGAAGAGGTTAGATCTCACCTCTTTTTTCACCTAATTTTTCACCCGTTTTTTCACCCTCTTGAATTTTCATGAATTTCCTTAAGATAGAAAAAAAGTGAGTTAAAATGAGATGTTTACTGAAGGGGTCACCATGTCACCGGGTAACCATGTGTCACCAGGTAAACTAACTTCTTTTAAAAAATGAGACAACATGACATTTTGACAACAGTCGGGAAAATGTCAAGACTTCTTCATCGTAACGAGTGTAAATGAACCAAAAATATATTTTAGGTGAAGAGGTTAGATCTCACCTCTTTTTTCACCTCTTTTTTCACCCTCTTGAATTTTCATGAATTTCCTTAAGATAGAAAAAAAGTGAGTTAAAATGAGATGTTTACTGAAGGGGTCACCATGTCACCGGGTAACCATGTGTCACCAGGTAAACTAACTTCTTTTAAAAAATGAGACAACATGACATTTTGACAACAGTCGGGAAAATGTCAAGACTTCTTCATCGTAACGAGTGTAAATGAACCAAAAATATATTTTAGGTGAAGAGGTTAGATCTCACCTCTTTTTTCACCTCTTTTTTCACCCTCTTGAATTTTCATGAATTTCCTTAAGATAGAAAAAAAGTGAGTTAAAATGAGATGTTTACTGAAGGGGTCACCATGTTACCGGGTAACCATGTGTCACCAGGTAAACTAACTTCTTTTAAAAAATGAGACAACATGACATTTTGACAACAGTCGGGAAAATGTCAAGACTTCTTCATCGTAACGAGTGTAAATGAACCAAAAATATATTTTAGGTGAAGAGGTGAGATCTCACCTGTTTTTTCACCTGTTTTTTCACCCGTTGAATTTTCATGAATTTCCTTAAGATAAAAAAAAGTGAGTTAGTATTTTTAAAAAAATATTTTTTATTTTTATTGTAAGAACATGTTAGCAACAACTTCACCAAACTCTTTAGTTATGAACCCAACTTCAATGTTAGTAGAGATGAAAAGCTTCATTCCTTCTTCATATACTTTTGAGACAGAAATCCAGAAGATAAAGCAAGAACTTCTCCAAGGAGATTTAGATTGCACTGCAAAAGATGAAACAAATGAACAATATCTTTATGAAATGGAGGACCTCATCGACCATCTACCTAAACTTCCTGAAATACAACAACAAAAGCTTACTATTCCTGAATTCGATGAAATAGAAGTAAAAACAACTGACTCAGTAGAAATAAAGAAGTTCATACGTAAGGTTAACTATGAGTTTCTTGGATTTCATTGCAACCATAAGGTTATGGACAAAGACTGCGATATGGTATATAAGAATGTTTCTGACATATATAAATCTGAAGAATTTAAGACCTACGACAACTTTGTTTCGTTAGTTGCAAAATGTGTATGGCAGATAAGAGATAAAGATAGAAGAGGTAAAATATGGAACGAACAGATAAAACCAGCAACTTTTGAGTTAAAGAAAACCATTGACGCTATAGTTGTACTTGCAGGACAAATTTCAATGTACAATGCTAAAATGAACCCACAATGTTCTAAATGTAAAGCAGCAATGAGGAAATATAACTACTCCGTCAAAGAGATAGAACGTATGCGAAACGACTATGCTGACTTAAAGAAAGAAGCAGAGAAACCAGCAGAAAACAAAATGGACATGTTAGCATTTCTAAACAAAAACTATCCAACAGCTGACGATTTCCTTCTTTCAGATGTCAAGAAGAAATATAAAGAAACATTCGGCATTGTTAAAACATTCGATGTACTAAAAGAAGAAATAGAAGCTACAAAATTGTTTAGAATTTCAAATATACATCGTACAATTCATGTAAAACGCTTATAAAATAACTGGGGTGAAAAAAGAGGTGAGATCTAACCTGTTTTCTCACCTCTTCACCTAAAATATATTTTTGGGTCATTTACGCTCATTGCGATGAAGAAGTCTTGACATTTTCCCGACTGTTGTCAAAATGTCATGTTGTCTCATTTTTTCAGAGAAGTTAAATTACCTGGTAGCACATGGTAACATGGTAGCACCTACAGTTCTTCACCTAAAATATATTTTTGGTTCATTTACACTCATTGCGATGAAGAAGTCTTGACATTTTCCCGACTGTTGTCAAAATGTCATGTTGTCTCATTTTTTAAAAGAAGTTAGTTTACCTGGTAGCACATGGTAACATGGTAGCACCTACAGTTCTTCACCTAAAATATATTTTTGGTTCATTTACACTCATTGCGATGAAATCATGACAAAACATATACGATGAAGTTTATTTCCTGTGTTGTTGTCAAAATGTCATGTTGTCTCATTTTTTCAGAGAAGTTAAATTACCTGGTAGCACATGGTAACATGGTAGCACCTAAAAACTATCCAACTGCTGACGATTTCCTTCTATCTTAAGGAAATTCATGAAAATTCAACGGGTGAAAAAAGAGGTGAGAAAAGAGGTTAGATCTCACCTCTTCACCTAAAATATATTTTTGCCGAATTCTGTATAAAATTCTGAGTAAAATGGCATATGGAACACATACTTTTTCAGTAAGGACATATGAGGTGAGAAAAGAGGTGAAAAAAGAGGTTAGATCTCACCTCTTCACCTAAAATATATTTTTATTGAATTCTGTATAAAATTCTGAGTAAAATGACCTATGGAACACATACTTTTTCAGTAAGGACATATGGGGTGAAAAAAGAGGTGAAAAAACGGGTGAGAAAACGGGTGAGATCTAACCTCTTCACCTAAAATATATTTTTGGTTCATTTACACTCATTGCGATGAAGAAGTCTTGACATTTTCCTGTGTTGTTGTCAAAATGTCATGTTGTCTCATTTTTTAAAAGAAGTTAGTTTACCTGGTAGCACATGGTAACATGGTAGCACCTACAGTTCTTCACCTAAAATATATTTTTGGTTCATTTACACTCATTGCGATGAAATCATGACAAAACATATACGATGAAGTTTATTTCCTGTGTTGTTGTCAAAATGTCATGTTGTCTCATTTTTTCAGAGAAGTTAAATTACCTGGTAGCACATGGTAACATGGTAGCACCTAAAAACTATCCAACTGCTGACGATTTCCTTCTATCTTAAGGAAATTCATGAAAATTCAACGGGTGAAAAAAGAGGTGAGAAAAGAGGTTAGATCTCACCTCTTCACCTAAAATATATTTTTGCCGAATTCTGTATAAAATTCTGAGTAAAATGGCATATGGAACACATACTTTTTCAGTAAGGACATATGAGGTGAGAAAAGAGGTGAAAAAAGAGGTTAGATCTCACCTCTTCACCTAAAATATATTTTTTATTGAATTCTGTATAAAATTCTGAGTAAAATGACCTATGGAACACATACTTTTTCAGTAAGGACATATGGGGTGAAAAAAGAGGTGAAAAAACGGGTGAGAAAACGGGTGAGATCTAACCTCTTCACCTAAAATATATTTTTGGTTCATTTACACTCATTGCGATGAAGAAGTCTTGACATTTTCCTGTGTTGTTGTCTAAATGTCATGTTGTCTCATTTTTTCAGAGAAGTTAAATTACCTGGTAGCACATGGTAACATGGTAGCACCTACAGTTCTTCACCTAAAATATATTTTTATTGAATTCTGTATAAAATTCTGAGTAAAATGGCATATGGAACACATACTTTTTCAGTAAGGACATATGAGGTGAAAAAAGAGGTGAGAAAACGGGTGAGATCTAACCATCTACCCTAAAATATATTTTTGCTGAAAAAAATGACCAAATTCCATGAATTTCCTCATATGCTTGCTACCCTCGAAAAACCGAGGGAAGAGATTCCGTACGAAAACAGTGAAGAACAGCGAGTAGGGACAAAAACGTAGTCGCCAAAACTCTATGAAAATCGTGAAGAACAGCGACCCTAGGTTTTTCGAGGGTCGCCTAAAACTCTATGAAAATCGTGAAGAACAGCGACCCAGACTTTTTTCGGGGTCGCCAAAACTCATGAAAATCGTGAAGAACAGCGAGTACGGACAAAAACGTAGTCGCCAAAACTCTATGAAAATCGTGAAAAAATGACCAAATTTCATTATATAACTGTTATTTTTTACGAAGTGAACTTTGACACTTCGTAAAAAAAATCCCTGAAATCATATCTTTTATACAAGATAGAAAAAATAAAGTTAGTTTTTTATAAAATATTTTTTTTATTTTGTATGTAAAGACAGAAAATGACAAACATTGAGTTTGAAACAGTTAGAAAGATAGACAATGACACCAAAATGGTTAGAATAGGTGATTTAAACGTAAGATACTCAAAGAAATACAACAAATATTCTTTGTCAGACATTTTATCTCCATTTGGAAAGAAAGCAAAGGACTGGGTTAGAATTGCTTCTACTCAGAAAATTTTGACAAGAAATCCTGAGCTTATGATATCGGTAAGATTCTATGGAACTGCAGCATATCTCATCGACAAAAGTCTTATACCAATAGTTTTGTTATGGTTAGACCCAGTTGTTGGATATAACTTCATAACATATGGTTCATTCGATACGGAACGTTGCAGTGAAGGCTTACTTTACATCGTTCAGAAACCGAAGGACTTCAACACAAAAAGATATAAGATAGGAAGAACATATAATATAACTCTAAGATATGACAGTACAGTCAATAGAGTCAAGGTTGTGTTCGTTAATGATATGAGAGCTGCTGAAACAGAACTACTTGAAAAGTTTGAGAAAATGTATGGTGCTCCCACGAAAGGTAAAGAAACGTTTGAAGTAGATGAGATAGATAAAGCTATAAAATTATTTGACGAAGTTGCTGAAAAATACATGTAAAGCGTTTATTTTTGGTCTTTTGTGAAAGTCAGGAAATAACGCTAATTTTTTATAAAATATTTTTTTTATTTTGTATGTAAAGACAGATATGTCAACAACAGAGAACACAACAACTGCTATCGTTCATGAAGCCATAAATGAAGAATACGAGTGGGTTCAGTTTAACAAACAGTTACGTCTCATTCGTTCGGTCAAAGACGACATGTACCAAATGCAAAGTATTTTGACAGCATGTTTTGCACCAGATACCAAACATACAGACGATTGGTTCAAAAACCAAAGCACACAAGAATTTTTGAGCGAAGCACAGCGAGACATACTTTTTTCGGGGTCGCCTAAAACTCATGAAAATCGTAAAAATTTGCCAAATGGTTTGAGAGGCTGGTATGTACATAGACTTCTTGTAAATGCTGTTGCAATGTGGGCTTCACCTCGTTATGCTTGTTATATTTTCATGATGTTAGATGAAATTCATAGACAAGAACGTGAAGAGATGGAAAAGAAACTTCATGCAAAAGATGAAGTCATTGAAGCAAAAGACAAAAGCCTTCAGAAAAGAATACCACGTTCGGTACCAAAAGGAAAGGAAAAGAACTATAAGTATATGATTTATACTGAAGAGATGGAAAATGAAGAAGACAGAGATATGGTTATGTTGCATTTAGTCAGAAGAAACAACAAAAGCTTTTACGACCTTGCTAAGATTTACAAATCTGACAGAAATTGGTTCTATCGCGAAAACTTACCGATTTCAATGACACCAAATGAAGATGTGAAACAAATAGTTCAAGATACTTTACCTCAAACACACTATGATATTAAAGGTTGTACAATACTTACCTTCAAAGAAGATTTGTCATTGTTAAAGGAAAAAATAACAGAGTATTTTGACAACTTCAAACAAGCAGAGTAAATGAACCATTTATTTTTCAAGCTTGACTTCAGATGGCTCAGGTAGCTCTATAAGGTAAATTGCCTTGTCAAATCCTTCTGGCATTCCGAGTCCTTCCTTCCGACAGGAAAAAAATTTCCTTCTGGCATTCCAAGTTCTTCCTTCCGACAGGAAAAAATTTTCCTTCCGACAGGAAAAAATTTTCCTTCCAACAGGAAAAATTTTTCCAGTTGTCCGTCCGTAAACCATTCAAATTTTCGAAAATTGAGAACTTTTTGGTCGAACTTCAGAAAAAGTTTTTCCTTCCGACAGAAAAAGTTTTTCCTTCCGACAGGAAAAGTTTTCCTTCCAACAGGAAAAGTTTTTCCTTCCGACAGGACACAAACGAATGTCCGACGTTCCTCTTCCTGAATGTCTTCCAAAGCCAGAAGAACCGAAAGCTGCAGAACCACAACAGACTAAGACTAAACACTTACATTTTTTACGCTTGACTTTTTACAATTTGAACTTTGTTTGCGTAGATATGAATTCTGAAAGAAGTATGAGGGTCTTGTATGACTTTGTACTTCTCCCATAGTTCATGTCTGTCAAACTTACCTGCCATGGACTCTTTCATAAGTTCCATGAAATCGTCTTCGGACAATCCGGGGAAAAGTACAATGTCAGTAAGTATTCTCTTTACATCCTTACTTAAACTCTTTGCTGTCTGTACACAAATGACAACTGAGATGTTAAAGTGTCTGAGCTTCTTAAGAATTCGACACATGTCTTGTTCTCTATTCTTTAACAAAGGATGAGAAGCAAAGTCATCTAAGATAAGAAGACATCTATGAGGGTACGTTTTCCAATCGTAAGATTGCAATTTCTTCGAAATGTATTCTATCTCTTTCTGTTTGTTTCTGAAGTTTTCTTCTCTAATATTCTCTGCATTTCCTCATTTGGATCTTTAAACTTCGAATTGACATACTCATTTATAGCATTATACTTCAAAACTCTTCTTTGGTACTTCTTTATCCAATCTAACAACTCAGAGTCTTTTATACATACTAACTTAGACTTCTTTATAATATCTTTGAACGAATTGACGGTTTGGTCAAATTGACCAGAAGTACTACAAATAACAACTAACTCATTAGAATGGGTTCTTCTCATCTAGTTCTTGTTGTTGTGCAGCCATTTTAAGATAAGTGAAAGTCTTACCCGACCCCAGGCGGTGCAATTAGACCTGTTATACCATTCTGAGCAAATAAGAACTTGTCATGTATGGGTTTTATCTGAGCATTTTCCAACTTCCTCTTGTTCTTATTTAAAACATTCTCAAATTTTTTGTCAATGTCAGCAAACTTTTTTTCTAACATATTTTAGAAAAAATTAAAATTTTTATCTTTTAGAAAATGTCTTGCGATTTCGCTATCTATATTCGAGACAAGCTTTTCGACAGCAAAACATCTGTCGACCATAAAATCTTACATAGTGTAAACAAGAAAGGTGAATTTGTTCTAAAGTTCTGTTTCTGGAATATGACAAGAACCATAAAACATTAAGCAGAGAAGTCTTAAAATTTGTCAATGACAGACTTGTTGACAGAGATGACGCCTCTTGGAGAGATGAAGTCCAACAAAACTTCTTAGAATGCAAAGAAGACACATGCGCTGTTCTTGAAGATGAAATAGAAAACAGAATAGAAGAGCTATTAAAGGACAAAGAACTTTTACAAAAATATGGTTCTGAGAAGTTTGACATAACTCCACCAGAAAAGAAGAAGAGAGAAAAGAAAGAAAAGAAAGTAGAAGAAGAGAAGAAAGAACCAGAGCCAGAGAAAAAGAAATTTGACATGTAAAAATAAAATTTATTTTTTAGAACATTTCTGGGTCAATGTCAATGTTCTCTTCCTCTTTAGGAGTAAACACTGGCTTAGACTCTAAAATCTTTTTACCCAATTTACCTTGAACTTCTACAACTTTAGACTCATAATATTCATAGTCGTCTGCTTTCTTTGGTTCATAAGGTATAACAAGTTTGTATGCTTTGCCTTCTTTAAGGTTTGAAAACCTTCTGTCAAAACTTTCTTTGACTGTTAACAAACCTTCTATGTCTAAGTCTTCAAATTTCGCACCATTTTTAGTCACAATAGCAAACTTAACTGGTTCGATGTTCCAAACTTTGCTGAATGAAGACTTTTCAAAATGGTAGAAGTAAACATTCAAATATGTGAATGGGTCTAGTTCTTCTTTAAGTCCTGACATGTACTTGTTACTGAGATGAATTTTGTCATCTTTTCTATCGGATAAAAAAAATATTTTTTTTTAAATTTACTCAGAAAAATTTTTCTTTGTATATACACCATTCTGTACGTCTAAAAGACTTTTGACATTTGCCAAGAATGTTCGTTTAGACGCTGTCATATAACCATATTCTTGACAATATTGTTTATACGAATCGTACAATGACCTTTCATCTAAACACTCAAAGTCAGTTTCATCTATGAACAGTTCATATACACTCTTGTTTGCTTCTAACAATGTTTGTCTCTCTTCGGTATGTGGAATTTGTCTTGGATTGAACTTTGAAATATCTAATGTCATAAAATATGAGAACAAGTGGTTGTAAAAGTCAGATGTCAAAGTTTCTGCTAAGTCGTCAAAATATTCTGTATCTTGATATGAGAATCTGACGTTCTGACAACTACATATCTTCTGTCAGAACTTTCTAACTTCATCGGAACAGCATTGTTTGAAACCATAATGAAGTTTGCAACATTTTCACAAACTCTTTGGTCTTTATACTTTCTTTCAACAACTCCAACTTTGTCTGTTATAAGACTCTTCAAAGCATCTGAGTTCAAAACTTTTGTTGTATCTATACTTTGAAGTTCGTTACATACTATAAGTTTCATATTCTCTATTGAAGAGTTAAATTTACCGCAGATGTTTTCTAAGTTTGTCATATTAGGGTTCGAATAGCCCTCTAACAGTTTGCACAAAATATCTGTAAAGAATGTGTTCTTACCTGTTCCTTGTTTTCCAATTATAATGAGAGCAGTTTCATTCTTAGCACTTGGATGTTGTAAGATGTTTGCAAACCAACATAAGATATACTCATAAACCTTTTCGTTTCCATTGCATATAATTTCTTTGACATGGTCTAACCAAGCTTCTATAATATTTTCTTTCCATTCTACTTGTTCATATTTATATCCAGTGAAGATAGAATAGAAGTTTGGAGAAGGTGTATAAAACTTTATACCACGAACTGAAAAATCTTCTAACTTTGACAATAAGATATCCCAAGCATCTAACATCTTCATGCCAACTTGTACGACTTTTATTTTCTTAAGTTTCTGTTTACATTCTTGTTCTGAAACTATTGTCGCTTTAGGTTTGTTAAAGACTACATCCCATTCTTTCATAACATAACATTCTGGGGCAGAGTCGACATAAATGACTAAACGTTTCAAATTCTCGACTGCTTTGTTATAGTCTCGAAATGGACACATATTTCTGAATGTTTGGAAGTCATAAAAATCTGAAACATCTATTCTGTACATTTTTATAAAAATAAAAAAAATATTTTTTTTATTCTTGAGCTATTTGTTGCATTTGTTGTTCTTGAGCTATTTGTTGTTGAAGTTGTTCTTGTAATACAATACTTTCACCAGTTGCATCTTCCAATTCGAAACTTTCTGCCGTCATTGACAAATACATAGGACATAAAAGTTTTACAGGAACAAAGTTTGCGTCAACTAAGGTTAAGTTTATGTTTGCTAAAGTGTTTGAGTTTACTAAAGCTGAAAACTCTGCATTCGAATGAACAATAGGCAAACCAGCAGAGAATGTGTTATTTATACGCATAAGTATCTTTTGGTCATAGTAGTTTCTGTCGACATTCGAATAACACTTTGAACCTAAGTTTGAAACAATATATAAAATAGGTGTACTTAAAGTCAATGGAACAGACATTCCTTGTATGACACCTTTTCCTGTTATAGGAAACTGTTGGTAGTAAAAACCAGATATAAGTTTTGTATTATAGCTCATATTGTTTATAGTAAACTCAGTCGGACATCCAAACATAATGAAACCTGCTCTAGTTGCAGCACATTTTACACCCGTACTTAAAGTATTAAATAAGTCAACAAAACCTGTTGGTGGTATATCTGAGTAAGTATCTTCAAAGGAGTATTTTTTACCATTCACAACAATAAAATCTTCTGGTGTCAAAAGAGCAAAACAAGCTTTAGTCGTCATTGTGTTTAAGGTTAGTTTACAATATCGTCCTTGAGGACTTTGTAAGTTTGTTGTTATAGAATTATATGACTCAGGGTTTTTAGTCGTAATAGTATAAACCATTGTGTCTTCTGCCATTTACTTAGCAAATAAATTTTAATGAAATGTTGTGGTCGTCAAATATTTTTATAACGTCTGGGAAACTATATTTTAAGTTCAACGTTTCACCTCCTTTCATAACGTATATCTTGTCAATGACATTATATGAAACACCACAGCAACTAACGTCGGTTCTATTTCTTTGATGTTTATATCGTCTGCCTCTGTCAAAAGTTTCAATAGTTCTTTCAAAACTTCATGAGGTGCAATGACATATGAGTTCACTTTTACAGGGTTGTGTTCGACCAAGTTTAACATTATACCTAAAGCTTGACAAATCTTCTCCTGAGTTTGAAGTTTGTCTTTCATTGTTGATAGTCGTTTCGAATATCTGCAACAGAACTTAAGTCTCTGCTAACTTCAGGGTATGTTGGTTGTTCTTTTACAGGAACTATTGTTATACCATTTTCGTCTTCGTATGGTTTCCCCACTTCAACATCTCTGTCTTTGACATTGACAACAACACTTTGACTGTTTGTTTGAGTTGGTGAATTTAACTTCACATCTGCCACTGCCATTAAACCTTTTGAAACACTTACGCTTCTATTTTTCGGAAATGACATTTTACTTAGAATAAAAAGATGGACGTATTTGAGTATCTCTTCGAATTGAAGCAAAACAAAGTTTACACACACAAACAATACAAATACATTGACAGAATAGTTCTTTATACAAACAATGGAAAATGTTATAGAATAGCAGTCTTTGCTGAACCAAAATATTTTCATAAAGCAAAGAAAGTTGGTATAACTGAAATGGTGAAAGTTCTTGAAGCAGACAAAAATATAACTTCAAAACTTACAGATATTTCTAAAGGTAAGTTTATAATACAATATTATGTCAAAACTGGCGTACTGTCAATATTTGACGGAGAGAAGTCAGTTCAAGAACAACTTACTGACCTGCTGCCAAAATCTGCTCGATGGAAGCTGTCGTTATGCCAATCTGAGGAGCCCCAGCAGGTTTCATCGAACGAATCTTCAAAAGAGCATCTTCCGTGAAAAGTGCTATTGGTTTTGTAAACTTCTTTGCTTTCAATTCATCTGGACCGTCTCTGTCACCAGTATATTGTATTTGAACTGTACCAACAGTTGAAATACCACCCATAAAGTCTTCTGAGTCAGCAAATGGAATGCCAAGCCAAAAGTTTGAACGGTCTCCATTTGTATATTGAGTTTTTTGACCTCCTGTATGAGTCCATACTTTCACATATGGCATAATAGAACTTTGCATTTCAGGGTTAATGGTTGTTGTGAAGTTGTTGTTAAAGTTCATAGCATCTAATGTCAAGTTGTATGACCTCATATCTTCAACTGTAGAATATTCTTCTCTTGGATAATATTTGCCATCTATGTTTATATGATATTTAATACCGGGGTTGTAGAAACAAGAATAGTCATTTATAGTTCGTCTGAACAGTACAAACATAGTATCTGCATGTTTCATTGCAGTTGTTAAAGCAATATCTGTTCTTGCACCTGGGTCAGCACTTTGGTTTCCAACTTCACCTGCAAAGTCTTTGACAGATATTTGGTGTATAGGGAACATAAGTGGAACTGCAATATATTTGGCAGCTAAAGCATTTGAAATATCTGGGTCCAACATATAGACTGCAAGTCTGCTTTCTATTCTCTTGCATTCAAATTTTTCGCATGTGAACTTAACTGGGTCCCAAGCAGTTCCAGCAGCATTGAAATAATAGTTTACTTCAGTGTTGAGGTTTGAGAAACCAAAGTCTAAGTCAACTTTGTCTTTGCAAAATTCGGCGAATGACGTTTTATTTGTTCCCTCTACGTCTGTAATAGTGAATGGGTCTTGTGTTGGTGCAATGACTAAGTTATTTTTGCTTGGAGTAAGTTCAATAGAAATTTTTCCTGCCCAGTTTGGCAAGTATCTTAAAAACCTGAAGATGAGGAAAGATGACAAAGGAACTCTAAGTTTCAGTTTTACTTTGGTTACTGCTGCTGCAGTTTGTCCAGAAAGGTTAACATAAACTCCTGGAACGTTAGGGTCAAGTCTTCTTATTTTCTCAATGGTGGCATACTGGTCTGTTTGTTCTCTAGCTTGTGGTTGTACTGAGTTTCTCAAAGCGAACCATTCATAGTTTGCCCATGTTACTGTTTGAACTAAGTCAGAGTTAGAATATATCTTATATCCCATGAAAACTTCTGGAGCATATTGGTATCCGACATAGAAAATTCCATTGCAACCTTTCTTGTCAGACAACTTGGCAGAAGGTTTTATTTCAATGTCTTGTTCCACGTATAAGAATGAGTTGTCAATAGAAATAATATGAAACCTGTCGCAAGCAATATCTACTGTTGTTGAAGAACCTTCTCCAAACTCACCTACGTTTCCATAAGAAACAGCAGTTGTATATTCGTAAGTTCCAGGAACTATTTCTGACCTTCTAATGGCATTGTCGCATTCGTTATACCATTCGGAAACATTTCCGTTCATGGCATCCAAAACTGTTGGCGTTATATTCTGAGCGGCGTACATTTCATATGGGTAAAAATATAGAATAGTTGGATTTATGTGTCATAATAGAACCCACGTGGACCAAGCTTTACTTTCTTCCTGGCTGAGTTTTTAACTCTTCTTTTTCCTTCATTGCCACTACTTTCACTAGATGAAGTTACTTCTTCACTACTTTCACTTTGTTCTACTCTTCTCTTCTTCTTTGGTGTCGCTTTTGGTAACTTGCCCTCTGCTTTAAGTTGTTGCATCTTTGCCTCATGTTCACCTAGTATGTTGTAAATTTCCCATGTCCTTTTTGCCTTTGGGCTCTGGTCGCCCATCTCAGGTAACCTATATCCTAGAAAGATTTTGTCATAGTTTGTATTTGAGTCTTCGCTTATTGTTTGCATGACTCTTTCCTGAGTTTCCGGTTCAAGCTCTTCAAACAGAGCTTGTCCATATGGAATAAGCTCGTTTCCAAATATATGTTTTTGTAGCCATTCTGGTTTTCTTTCCATGTTACCAACAATATCTTTTGTGAATGGGAAAGCTTTTACCCAATGTTTCAGTCTTGCGTCATTTATTTCTGTAGTTGGTTTTATTTTGTCAAGGAACATGTTTTTCAATACTAACATTTCATTTGGTACTGTCCGTTTGAGTTTTCTTAAATATTCATCCCTTCTCGGTTCATTGTCTGCAAAGTAAGTTTTTATGACATTTTGTAAACTTTCGTTTGCAAGGTCATGTACAATAGGTTCTCTTCCTTCTGTCTCCCTAACTTTCTTTCTAAACTCTTCACCAAATATACCATCTCTATGGTTCTGTGTAGTTCTTTGAGATAAATGTTCTAGAACGTCAGGTGTTATATTTCCATCAGCCATGTTCATTTCATACTGGTCCAAAATATCTGCATCTTTCATATCTTTCAATGGCATTAAAGCCGCGGTGAAAATACCAGCTATATCTGGTTCACCATTCACTTCCATTGCGTCTACAACTTCTTGGAATTGTGGTTGTAAGTTTATGAACCACCTATCCGGGTTAGCTTTATGACCCCATCTCATTGTAGTTCCATAGTCTGCAGAAACAAAAGTAGGTTTGTTTCCATATTGGTTAGGTTCTGAATGAACTTTAAACAATGTTTCATTTCTATATGTTTTGTTGAAATTTAACCTTTTATTTTCACCGAGTTCAGCCAAAGATTGAACGTTATATATGGTCGTAAGTAAAAAGGGTTATTGTATTTGCGTACATTTTCTTTCAGTACTTCCATTCTATGCTGAATATTTTCATCTGATGTTGGAGTCTTTTGTATGTCGGCAAACATTTTTCGATATTCTTCTACTATGTCAGCCGAATTTTTCTTAGACTCTTGGAAAGATTCCATATTCACCTCATACTCTTGTTGAGGGTCAAGATTTTTCGGCTGTTCCAAATCTTCATCTAGTTCTGTGAAGTTAGTTTCCAAAGGAGGGACTTGTTCGTTTCCTTCAGGCTCTTCTAGCTGTTGTTGCTGAACTATTTCTTCCATGTCTGGTTGTATCTGAACTTCTTCCTGTGGAGTTTCTTGTACCTCATCTGCTGGCATTTCATATATTCCGAGACCGTTTTTAAAAAGTTCCCTATCTAAGTCATCCGGACTCATAAACCTTTCTTCTTTCGTTCCGTCTCTATTTTTTACGCGTTTCATGAAGAGAGTTGAATTATCATTTAGCTCTGACACCAAATATCTCGGAGTAAATTCAGTCATGTCATTTGGATGATATGCTATTAAATCATATCCCTTAGCGAGCTTGTATTTTCCAGGTTTGAAATTATATCCCATTTGGTGCTGAACCATAAAGCTAAATAGGTTCGGGTCAGTATTTCCTTCCTTGAACTTTCTAATAGCTTCTTTATATCTGTCACTAAAGTCAAGAGTATCTGGGTAACCATAGTCTTCCTTAAGCATTTTTAAGAATTCTTGGTTTCCTTGTTCTCTACTTCTTTTATGTCCTTGCTCTGTTTGTGGTTGTTGTTGTGCAGGGTTTTGAACTGTTGGTTGCTGTGCAGTGTTTTGAACTGTTGGTTGTGGTGCTGGATTTTGAACTGTTGCTTGTTGTGTTGGTTTTGGTGCATGCCTGTGTCTGTGTCCATGTGACGATGTAAATGTTTTAGGTAGTCCTGGTGCAGGTGCTTCTCTTGGAGGGTTTGATGGTATATAAGTTCCACCAGCTGGCACATATGTTCCATCTGCAGCATAATGTCCTACCTGACTTTTCGTTTTTAAGAAAGCATTTACTAGGTCTGTTTTGGTCTGTTGTAACTCTTTTTCTTGACTTTCCACAACAGTTGCTCTAACGGCGTCATAGGCACTTTGAACTGCCTGTCTCGTTGCTGCATCTGTTATTTTCGTCATATTTTGTGCTACTTCTCTTAACTCGTTGTCGAAACCTTCAGACTTCAGTTTCTTTCCAGATGAGAAATCGTTCACTTGTTTCACCTTACTATGAAGAGCTTCGAAGGCGTTCTTAAAGTCAGCATTCATTAAAGCTTCATTTGAACTGTCTTCATCCGCTTGTATTTTTGTCCTTATTGACCCTATAAGTTGGGCTGCTTTAGCGTTGGCTTGGGCATCTAACCAGTCATTGTTAGCTTTTATATATTCTGCGCTTTTCATTGCCTTTTGCATGGCTGCGTCGTTATTTTTACTTTCTTGTGCTAAGTTTTCATACTGTACGGTTTGGTTTTGCAACTGTAAAAGTTTTTCTGCCTTTACATTTGCTTCAACTTCTTTTTTATACTCATCGCTATCCATATATGTCTTCATGGCTTTTTGTTTTATCTCTTCATCTTTCAGTACTTTATATTGAGTAGTATGGTTTTTCAAATTTATAACATCTTGTTCCATTTTTGCTACTTCTGCTGCTTTTTCTGACACTTTTTTCGCATATTCCTCTGTACTTAGTTCTTTCAGTTGTTCTTCTTTCTTCTTTTTCTCTACGTTTAACTCATTGAGTTTCTTTGTGTGTCTGTCATATTCTAGTTTCTTTTCGTTTTCACTTATTTGTTTCTGTATGTCTATGTTTGACTTTTTGACATCTGATATTTGATTTTTGAGTGAACTCAAATTCATTTGACTTTGAGGGTTATAAGCTGTTCCGTCTGCAGCTCCACCATAGCCTGCCATTTTCGCTAAAAGTGCCGCTCTTAAACCTCCACTCTGTGCACCAATAACTCGGTTTAAAAGCATAGGATTGCTTGACATTTGTTGCAACATAGTGGGGTCATTCATTATTTGTTGTTGCAACTGTTGTTGTGGTGTCAGTTTTACTATTGGATGTTTCAATGCTCTCTTCCTCTTACGTATATTCTTACGTAGCTTACGTGGCATTTTAAGTGAAGTTAAAAAGCGGTTTTCGACAGATGTTTATATGACACTTTTTGTTCAGCACAAAAAACTACTCGGTCAAAGTGTTGTCAGTTTTGTAAAATAACCGTCCTATCTCATTCTATAAGGGGGAAAGTCTTCTCAAAGTATACTTCCTTGGAACGCCTGTAACTTTTCCTGTAGCGACGATAGACCCTTACTTGTCCGGACAAAGTTATACTATTTTGAGTGCTATACAAAAAAGTCAACGGCGACGACTCTCAAAAATTTTTATGGGCTAGAGGGCGCAACGCGCCTGGAAGCCCTCCGAATATAAACTTCATTTATACTCAACATCTTCAGGGCTAGAGGGCACGAAGTGCCTGGAAGCCCCACTACCTTTTTTTTTTTTTTTTAATACTAAAATATTAGTGAATTCCTACGATTTCAGAACAAATGTCAGGAGAAAGCAAATAATATAAATGGATAAATGCATGTGCATGCATAAAGAACTAATTTCTCAAATTTCCCAACTTTTTCGTCTTTATTGTTTTGAGAGCTAAATGGCCATAAAACGATGACAACCGTATTGAAAATTTTGTATGAACTTTTTTCATGGGATTTTATTGTACACACAATGGAGATCGATTTTTATCGAATTACTAATTCAAATGATTCGAAAACCGCTTGAATTGAAATCTTATTGAATTTTTGATAACTAAAAAGGTCGAGATTTGAGAGGTGACAAAAAAGAATCATTTCTCATCAATGAGTGAAGCAGCACATGTTCTTATCACTGGCGCAGCAGGACAAATCGGTTATATCCTTTCCCATTGGATCGCCAGCGGTGAATTATACGGTGAACGCCCAGTTTATCTCCATCTTTTCGATATTCCACCAGCCATGAACAGACTTACAGCTCTTACAATGGAATTGCAAGACTGTGCATTCCCACATCTTGCAGGCTTTGTTGCCACAACAGAACCAGAAGCAGCTTTCAAGGATATTGATTGCGCATTCTTAGTTGCATCAATGCCACTCAAGCCAGGCCAAGTCAGAGCAGACCTCATCAGCTCCAACAGTGTTATCTTCAAGAACACTGGTGAATACCTCTCACAGTGGGCCAAACCAACAGTCAAAGTTCTTGTTATTGGTAACCCAGATAACACAAACTGCGAAATCGCAATGTTACATGCCAAGAACCTTACAGCCGACAACTTCAGCTCCCTCAGCATGTTAGATCACAACCGTGCTTACTACGAAGTCGCTTCAAAGCTCGGTGTCGATATCCATGACGTTCATGACATCATTGTTTGGGGTAACCATGGTGAATCAATGGTTGCTGATCTTACACAGGCTACTTTCACAAAGGAAGGCAAGACACAGAAAGTTGTCGATGTTCTCGATAAGGAATACGTTTTCGATACTTTCTTCAAGAAGATCGGACACCGTGCTTGGGATATTCTTGAGCATCGTGGCTTTACAAGCGCTGCAAGCCCAACAAAGGCCGCTATCCAGCACATGAAGGCTTGGTTGTTCGGAACAAAGCCAGGAGAAGTCCTTTCTATGGGTATTCCAGTTCCAGAAGGAAATCCGTACGGAATTAAGCCAGGAGTTGTCTTCTCATTCCCATGCAACGTTGACAAGGAAGGCCACATTCATGTTGTCGATGGCTTCAAAGTTAACGATTGGCTCCGTGAAAAGCTCGATTTCACTGAAAAGGATCTTTTCCACGAGAAAGAGATCGCTTTGAACCACCTCGCAGAGTAATTCATTTTTTCTAACACATTTTGTATACTAAAAACGTTTAATCTATCCTCTTTTAAAAAAAATTAATTTTTTTAGCATCATCAAACCAAATAACACTAAATCAATCTACAAAGTCTTTAAAAGGTTGTTTGCGTTTTATAATATTGATATGTAAAAAGATTTTGAGATAATTTCAATTATATATAATATAATATAATATATATAATTTCAATTATATTAAGATAGTTTTTTTTATTCCAAAATAATATATAAATGAATTTATGGTTCTATATCTCCTTCTGTTTTGATAGAAGCCTTCTTACTTCTGATAACAAAAACAGCTACAACAGCAACAATAACAACAACAGCGACAACCGCAACAACAGATCCAGCAATTATTGCTGTTTGTTTAGATTTTCCTTCTAATTTCGAGTCATCAGGATTTGAAGTAGGAGTTGGATTTGCTATATTCTCTTCGGGTTTTTCATTCTTACCTCCATTATCTGTTGTTGTTTCATTTTTCCCTGTATTATCTGTTGTTGTTTCATTTTTTCCTTTGTTTTCATTGTTATTTTGGTTGCATCCATCTGGAGAGAATACGCTTTCACCATCTACATAACAGTAATTTGGTTCAGGGATTGGTGGAGGAGGATCCTTTGGAGGTGGATCTGTGGGCAGGTTATTCATTGCTTGACAGATACTTTGTTGACTTGCAGTGATCTCAACACCAAAGAATGTGTTATCATTATAGTCTGTCTTGACATTCACTTTAAGGTTTGTATATTGTTGTAATTGCGTTGATTCAATGTGTGGAGCCCATGTACCGCAGTAAAGAATTTCTTTGAGATTTGGAATTCCATCAAAAATATTTTCTGGAAACGGAGAAACAATTTCTCCAGTGAAAGAAAGTTTCGTGAGACTTGTGCAGCCATTGAAGATATTACTACCTAAACTTTGTTGATAGCTGAAGAATGCTGCTTCAGTTAAATGAGTATTTGATGCAAAAGCTTCAGAATTAAGTGTCACTAGAGCATTTGGCAAACTTAGTTGTAAAATATCACAGTTTTTGAATGCCGCAGTGCCAATAATTTTGATTTTGGTTGAGAACAATACTGTAGATAACTTGGGACAACCAGAAAATGCGTTATCTCCAATTGTGGTTAGTGTTTGGGCATATCTAAAATCAACAGTTGTTAATTCTTGACATTGATTAAAGGAACTTCCTACAAGTTCAGTAAGTTCTGATGGCAATACAAGTTCAGTCAATCCTGTGTTTGTAAATGCGTTTGAATCAATTTTTGTAATTCCATCATGAAAAACAAGGTTTAACTTGGAGCAACCTTGGAAGGAACCTTTTGGAATTTCTGTTTGTGTCCTGGAAATCTTCATTGTTGTTAATGAACTGCAGCCGTTGAAAGAATTTGTGGCAAATTTAAAGTATTCATTGTTTTCGAGACCAGTAATAGCGGTGAGCTTCACACAGTTCAAGAAACAATTCTGCTTTATAGTTAATAGAAGCTTTGAAGATGTAACTGTTTGAAGATTTTGGCAATTTTCGAATGCATTATATCCAAACTCATTGACATGAGATAAATCAATTGTCTTTAATGAAGTACAGTCTTTGAATAATGAGTTTTGAACTCTTCTGCAACTTTTTGGAAACTTTAAAGTTTGTAATGAAGTGCAGCCTTCAAAAGATTGCTGGCCTATACTTTTGACGGAATCAGGAATAGTAATGGGGCGAGCCGGGAATTGTAAGTGTTTATTCGGAAAGGGTTAAGACGAGCGAGCGAGCAAAGTTTTAGGTGAGCGAGCGAAGCGAGCTACTTGGGTGGAGGTGGGGCAGGATTTGGTCTAGGTGGATTTGTTGTTGGTGGTTTTCACTCCAATGAGTGTATCATGGATGTGGTGCTAGTCTGTTATCAGACCATACGGACTGATGGATGGGAGGTTAATATTATTATCTGTTTGAGGGAGGGTGAGTAATTTTCGTGGTGTCTCTTTTATTTTGGCTTGTGATTCCTAGCACGGAATCCGGTGTTCGGTACACGTTTCGTACCGAGTGACATCGCTTAAGCTCTGCCAATCCTACTATGCTTCTGTTCTTCTCACTCGTCTTATCTCTTCTTAGTTAAGGAATTCGTCCTCATCGGGTTGGTCTAAGGCTTGTTCTATCGCGTTGTTCTCAGCATCTTCTTCGATGATTTGATCAACAGAGATAGTTTGTTCGGTTGAATTATTTATTTGTTCGCCTTGGCCATTGTCTTCTTGAGCATTTCCATTGTTGGTTGGTTGCTCTTCAGAGGTTGCCTGTTGGTTCTCCTGACCATGATCTGTGTCGTTATTGTTTTCATTGTTGTTTGGTGGGATCGCTGCATTGGGAGCTGTGACTCGTCCTGGGAGGGGACGGCAGCGCATACCGAAGAATTCTGGCACTTTTTCAAAAACAATGCAAGCACTCGCAGCTATCGCGTGCATCGAAAGTCTCTTGAGTAGCTGTATGTGATCTGCAGGTGAGATTCTCAATGCGTCGAGTTTTGTACGGAGAGGGATGACTCCTAGTGATGAGACTACGATAATTGAGAGCGTCGTGGTCCAGTTAAATAATCTCTCTGTTTGTTCAGCAAGGCTCTTATACTTGTTAACCTTTTTGTCGTATGCCGCGTCAAGAGAGTTGCCAACATTGTTGTCCGTGCCGTAAGGGCATGTGACTTCAATAATCTTGATCATCTTGTTCGCTTCATCGTAGACAACAAGGAATCATACCACTAGACTACTCACCCTCCTACAATAATTTAAATTTGTTTTAATATATTATTATAATCTCTTCCCTGATTAATTACTCAAGAGTAAATGATTGGATCATTTAACACTATAGCTAAAATTTATATCATAATACTACAAATCGGCTCTATATCTTTACATAAATCCTTTATTTTATATATATTTTACCTTATTGAATTCATTTCTTTTTTCAAAAATTTTAATCTCAGTCTAATAAACCTTTTACCTCCCAACCATACCTATTAGTTTTTCTCTATGACATCATTCCATTATTTTTCCTGTTTTTAATCTAGGTATTCCAATAAATCAAATCATCAATGATTGCATGAAAAGTTTTTGAATGAGGGCCCAATTATCTTTATTTCATAGATTTGGAAACAATAAGAATTACCGAAAAAGTGACAAAACATCAAAAACAGGGAGGGGGTCTCAATTTTTATTACTTATATTATTTTACAATATTTATATAAATACTCTTTATAATATATTTTACTATAAAATTATACCTCAAATTCAAATATTTAAAATATTATTTACATAATTATCTCAAAAAAAAAAAAAAAAAAAAAAGGTAGTGGGGCTTCCAGGCACTTCGTGCCCTCTAGCCCATAAAAAATTTTTGGTAGAGCACTCAAAATAGTATAACTTTGTCCGGACAAGTAAGGGTCTATCGTCGCTACAGGAAAAGTTACAGGCGTTCCAAGGAAGTATACTTTGAGAAGCCTTTTCTGTCACTTTTCAGGAAAAAACATTTTTATTATTATATATAAATGAATTTTACAAAACCACCGTTACCGTTCTTTGGAAATAAGAGTAAATGTAAAGATATTATATTGAGAGAACTTAAGAAACTACCGAATGGTCTAACATTTGTAGATTTGTTCGGTGGAAGTTTCTATATATCCCATTTGTGCCATACAATATTCCCAGACTCAAAGATTATATGCAATGACTTCGACAACTATATGGACCGTCTCAAACATATACCAGACACAAACAAAATATTGAGTGAGTTGAAAGAAAAGATACCTATAGGTAAGATGGAACGTATACCATTAGATAAGAAAAATATTGTGAGAGAGGTTTTGAAAAAAGCAGAATATATAGACTGGGATAGTATATCTGCTAGACTATTATATAGTGGTTCTATAAGAGTTCATGACATTGAAACACTTATGTCAAAAGTTTTATATCTTAACTATACAAATGTTTTCAAAGAGGACATAGAAAAATATATTGAGGGTATAGAGTTTGTGAGATGTCATTGGACAGAGTTGTATGAAAAATATAAAGACAAGGAAAATGTTTTCTTTATAGTGGACCCGCCGTTCTATAACACATGGGATTTTCAATACCAAGTAGACTGGACTTTGAGAGACTCTTTAGAAACTTTAGACGTTTTACATAACTGTCCATGCTTTTACTTTACATCCGATAAAAGTGGTTTGGAAACCGTTATGAGATGGTTAGAGGACATACATGCCTATGAGTTTAGATATGACAAGATAGAATATGAGAGAGGTCCTATAAACCGGAGAAAGTGTCATAACAAAGAAATTTTACTAGTAAGTAAATGTGGTTTGAAATAGGACTACTTGTTTTAGGTTTTTTCCATTGTGTCATTTATTTCTTTGACGTGGCAGAAAGATATAGAGAATATAAAGATGAACCAATGCCTGCAAATGTTCAGTATATGTACTCGTAAGAGATATTTTTATCTAATATTAAATGGACGCACAGAACTTAGCGAATGCACAACAACCTGGACAACCAAACCCAGAGAATATTCCAAATGAAGTTAGAATACAAACTGCAATGGCAAACTATGGTCAAGTGCCAACAGATGTACAAATGCAAACTGCCATGTCAAATGACGCTGCGTTAGGTTTGCCACCATGGTATGCAAATATGAGATGGAAAGAGTTTTATACAAACCCCGAAGTGGGATATAAACAACTTTATGCAGATGACGCGAACACAGGAGTTGACCCAGAATATGTTTTCTACCAGAGGAGAAACAGAATGTATGAGCTCCAGTTAAAAAATGCTATGGAACTCAGAAGGAAACGTAAGAGACTAGGTGGACATTAGATTTTTACATATAGTAAAATGGGTTTCTTCAGTAAGATAGGAAACTTCTTCGAAATGTTGGAAGAGGTATATGGAATGGAATAAAACCGTAGGAAGAGGAATTTGGAACGGAGTCAAAAATATTGGTAAAAAGAGTAGTCAGGTTCGTTGGTATTATACCTAAAGACCCTGAACCAGAAGAACAAGCTCTGTTATACAACAGCCTGAACCTGCACCACAGTCTAGTTGGCAACCAAATCCAACACCTCAACCGTATTAAAAATTATATTTTTACCGTTCGATAGTAGTTGTATATGAACTAAGTTCTAAGTAAAACGCATGGTATAATGGAACTATTCTCTTTCTTCCATCTGTTGTAAACCATACTTGAAAGTCTGAAATACTTCCACTCGTGGTTCATATAGCTTTGTAGGTTTTTCGTAAAAGTCATTTGCCAAGCATAAGAAAGAGTTTTTGGGCGCCAGAAAATGAAGCATGAAGATAATAGCATCTGGGTCGAAAACATTTTCATATGTTCCATTAGGGTTTTCGACTTCATAAAAGTCCGGGTGTACTGGATATTCTGCAGGCTGATTTAACATCCTCATAAATCTATACCATGCCAAGTTGTTTATATTTTGTAGAAATATAAACGTTTTCTCCAAGGTCTTCTATTCTATTGATTTTAACAGTTGCATTTTTCCTGTCATAAATAATATCGAGATGGTACTCTCCCTCGTCAATGTTATACTGGTTTGCATATTCGATATAGATGTCGTTTATTTTTTCTTGAAAAGCTTGAAGAGTTGTTTCTAAGTTTACAAGCAACTAACTTGTAAAAGTTTTTCCCTGTTCAAATTTCTCATACATACGTTTTTCTTTGTTATAGTATCGAACTTCAAAACCGACCGTAAATGGGAAACCATGTATGGCTTCTGAAATGAACTTCATTCTACGAAAGCCAATAGCTTTTGTGACAGATGGGTCTCTTAACCATCTTAATGGGTAGTCAAAACGATAGCCTTCATGCTTTAGATTGTCTATGTCAACCTTTTGACCGACATTAGTAAAAAGTTCATCTAATGGTTTAGTTGTAGCAACTCTTGAATTTTCTTTTTCTATTGGAAGCATATTTTATCTAGAATAAAAATGTCGAAAGATATTGCTTCCATAAGAGAAATACAACACAACCGACAACTCATTATGCAAGCTCTAAATAAGAACACAACAAACTTTTCAAACTATTCTAAGATATCTGAGTCATTGAAAGAAGGAAACTTAAAACTGACATTAAACCCAATGACAGATGAGTTTCTGTTTCAAGACAATAAGAACCATACTGTCTGTATAAATCCAACAAAAGGAACTTTAAACGAGAAACCTATAAATGAACTTCTTTTGAAAACAGATGTTGACAACAAAGCTGACAAAGAATATGTAGACGATGCAATAGCAAAAGAAGAAGAAAGAGCTAACAATGCTTATGCAACAAAAGAACATACTCATCCTGAACTAGCAGACAAAAATATGTTGACAATAAAATGTCAAGTGAAGTGACAAGAGCTGAAAACGAATATTCTAAAAAGACTCATACACATTCTATATCTGATATTACAAACTTACAAGAAACCTTAAACAGGAAAAGTGACGTTGGACATACACATACCATTGCAAATATTACAAACTTACAAGAAACCTTAAACAGGAAAAGTGCGTTGGACATACACATACCATTGCAAATATTACAAACTTACAAGAAACCTTAAACAGGAAAAGTGACGTTGGACATACACATACCATTGCAAATATTACAAACTTACAAGAAACCTTAAACAGGAAAAGTGACGTTGGACATACACATTCTATATCTGATATTACAAACTTACAAGAAACCTTAAACAGGAAAAGTGCCGTTGGACATACACATACCATTGCAAATATTACAAACTTACAAGAAACCTTAAACAGAAAAAGTGCCGTTGGACATACACATACATCTTCTGAAATAACAGACTTAAACGTTAGCCTTGAAAATAAAGCAGATAAAACATATGTCAATGAAATATACCAAAGTTTGCTAGGAACAAAAAATATTGAAACTATTGTTGGTGACTTTTCTGTCAATGAAGAAAACAAATATTTTAGATGGCAGTTGGTACAGTCCTTAGAAAATGGTACACGGTATAAACTCATTCCGAAAAATAACAATGAAATGTATGTAAGCTATAAAAAGAACGATGGTACACAAGTTAAAGTTCCATTAGACAACAACTGCTACTTAAACTTATATGGAGACGAACAAAAGAAATATTTAAGAGTTTATGAAATGACAGATATGACATTGCCTGACCCAGCTCCAGCACCATATTATTATGACTATGGAGATGACGTCAGAACACCACATGTAGATGAACAAAAGCTAACATTATATTTAGATTATTATAGATATAAAGATATAATGCAATAGAAAAAACGAGAATAGTATACTATTATGAAGATGACAGAAATAAATATTATAGTCGAGACTTTACCTACCCTGAAAAACATAAGATTATATTATAAAAAATATTCTGACACAAACCAGAAGAAACCTGAAATAGTTGCACTATATTTTAAGTTCAAAAGAGACAATCCTATAATGTCTCATATGTTTGATTTAATGAACCCAGTAGGTTCTATTTATACATCTATGGAAGCAAGAGGTCCTCAAGTAATGTTTGGTGTTGGTGCATGGGAACAAATAGTCGACAGGTTTTTGTATTGTGCAAACTCTTCAAAGGAAACAGGTGGAAGTAAAACGATTTCAGGTGAAAATTTACCTGCACACAGTCACTACATAGATTTAAGTACATCTCAAGCAGGTTGGCATAGGCATAGATATTGGGATTGGACAGGAATGACAAAAGGTAAAGGATATGATGTTAAAGACGACGTTAAGTTTGCTATAAATTGTTACTGGGTGACACGCAGGGAGAAGGAAACCATACACATTTCGTTTCAGGATATACACAAACAACGGGACAAAAAAGACTACATGCCACCTTACATGACAGTTTACGCATGGTATAGAAATGCTTAGTCGTCATTTTCAACTTCTTTAGCATATTCGTCAGGAGTTGTCTTATATTTGTTAGGAACTGTCTTTGAAAGTATACCACCTTGAACTTTGACAAGTTTGAAACGAGGTCTGACAATAGTAGTTTTATCTTCTGCTTGCAGTGTGTACATTTTGCCATGTTTGCCTAAAACTTCATAATATTCTCTTGTATACTTTCTTCTATTTTTACGAACACGAACGTGAGTACCTGTCGGGTTCCCATTGTTGTCATAGTCAATAGTATTTTCATATGGGTCGCGTTTAGGTATTTCTATTTTTACTTTGTCACCTTTCTGAAGTTTGAAGCCCGGCATTCTTTCTTGTTTGTCTCTTTTGACTAAATTATTAAATATATAGTCTTTCTCTAAGTCAGGGTTGTTTTTCATTTCTTCGGGGGAGTGGTTTCCCAAACCTTTTTGTTTACGGTTATTGTAAATATTTAAAACTTGTCTCATCTTTGCCTGGGAGAAGTGTCTATACTTGTCGTCATATGACATTTCATTTGCTTCACCACCTTGTGGTTGGTTTAAGTCTCTTAACATTTTTATACAACCGTCAATGACACCAAGAGCAGAATGGTTTTGGTCGACAATGAAATATTGGTTTACATTTTTTGAACGCAGATAGTTTTTAATATCGTCTGATTTGAAAGAACTTTCACAGTCAGATGTCAGTTTTGTTGGATGGTATTTGTCAACGAATATTGTCAAAGCTGCTAAGATATCTAAAATATTTTTGGACTGTAATGGTATGGCTTCACAGTATCTTGTGTTTTGACCGACAAATATTAGCCAGTATGGTGGTCCATCTGTTCTAACTCTCGGAATGTTTTCCAAGATATCCATAAACCAAGCATTTGGTATTGAACTAAAGATTTTTATCATGAGTGCTTTCTTTGTCGCTTTAGAAACATAGGGGTCCTTGTTTGGATTCGTCATTTTTACCCCATAAGAAATGGGTTTATTTGGCGCATTAGCAGGAGTCGCATCTAGATTTTTGCCCGCAGTGGGAACAATAGCCAGAGGTGTATTTGGAGTTGGAAGGAAGATTTTGAGTACATTAGGTATACTGAAAGAGAAAGCACAACCTATTATACAAACTGTACAGAAAGGTTGGGATGTAGCACGAGATGCAACAAATCTTATTCCAAATCCTGAAACAAGAGGAAAAGTTCAAGGATGGATGGACAATGTAGGAAGACAAGCAGGAAACTATTATAACAAAGCAAATGACTACTATAACCAAGCAGGACACTATATGGACCAAGGTGAAAGATTCTTTAACAGAGGATATAACCATGCACAACAATGGGTAAACAATAACCAACCTCAACCGCCTCAAACGTGGGGAATGTAAAGTTTTTTACTGAGATGAAATGAACAATACAGCATTGAGACAAATGGGTTCAAGATGGATTTGTCGGCTTCCAGCAGTTACACAACGTGTTTGTCAAGTTCTTCCTATACCTCAGGAAGTTTTAGACCGACTTAAAAAACAACAACAACCAGTTGAAAACAAACCAAACTAAAATTTTTTACTGAGATGAAATGACCGAAGAAGTTGAAACGGTAGATTTGACACCACAAACAAAAAGTTCAGAACCATTGTCAAAACCTGTCAAAGAACTTATAGATGAAGAGAAAAATTCAATAATAGAAAGTGCCAGGTCTGGAAATACAAACCCTAACTACAAAGTCACTTTTCATAAAAATGGAACGGCTAGTATCTCAAAAAAGAAACAGACTCTCACAAATAAAATATTGAAGTCTGAAGGAGCTTTCGAGACAACAGATGGAAAAGTTTACTTCACTGACCAACAGTTCATTATAGAACATCTCATTGACTTAGAGTCGAAATATTCTAAACTTTACAACAAACACAAAAAGTTGAAAGGAAAACAAAAACAAATGGCATATGATATTTATGAAGATGTTGACGACACAACTGTTCCTGCAGGTGAGGTAAAGTCAAAGGAACCGAAAAGTGACGAAAAACCGATAGAAGAAGAGAAACCAAAAACTGAAGATAAACCAAAACCAAAGTTTAGTTTGGAAACTAAACCAAGTCAACCTTCATTAGCTGGTATGGGTTGGCGTCAAAGACTTATGGTAGCGGGCGGTTATGTAAAGTAAAGAGAAAAAAAATATTTTTTTATTTTATTTGAAATGTACGCTGAGTTTGTTGGAGAAGACCGTTGGGAAACTTGTTTGTTAGATGAGAAATATGAAATGGCATACCATTTTAAAACAATATATTTTTAAAAAAAATATTTTTTTATTTTATTTGAAATGTACGCTGAGTTTGTTGGAGAAGACCGTTGGGAAACTTGTTTGTTAGATGAGAAATATGAAATTCACTGTTGTGAGTCATTTGAAGTCAGAAACAAAAAGACAAAAAGAGTTTTAAGCGAATGGGAGCGAAATAACGGATATGCTATTATGAAGATGGGTGGGAAACACTATTTTAAACATGTTGTCATTGCAACTCATTTTATACTGAATCCTAACAATTTACCTTTTGTAGACCATATAAACCGTATAAGAAACGACAATAGACTTGAAAACTTACGTTGGGTCAATTGTTCTGAAAACAATAAGAACAAAAGCAAATTTGGAGATATTGTATTCGAATTTGTCGACGAACTAGAAGATGAAACAATTGAAATTACAGACTATGGCGAGCATACGTTTGAGTTTTACTACTATAGCGAAGAACAAGACTCTTTCTACTTTTATACCGGCGTAAACTATAGGAAATTACAAGTATATTTTACTAAGGAAGGCTATGCTTATGTAAACACTAGAGATACAGATGGAAAATACGTTCAAATACTTCTTAACAAATTCAAGAAGCTATATGGCATACCATTTTAAAACAATATATTTTTACATATATTAAATGCTTCAGGTTGAAAAACAAAGAACAAAAGTAGCAGATACAAAACCGTTAGACTATATCTTTACAAATGCTGGTAGGACTATTTCAGATGAAGAAATTTCATCCCGAGTATACAGGTTTGACTATCCAGTTCGTTGGCTTCAAAGTCCTTCAGATGCAAAGGCAATAGGATTTAGAAGAGTTTTGTTTTCAAATAGAACTAACGCGTTTATGTTCGCAGTATATTTTCATGGGCAGTATAAAGGTTCTGATGGTCTAATAGACAAATTTGATGAAATGAGAATCTTTACAGTTCGTTCAGACGAAAGTCTTGAGAAAACTCTAAATGACTTTCAAACTCAAATAAACAAATATTATTGGGAATTTCAAGAAAAATACGACTCTTTACTAAATGGAACATACTATCTGAAACTAGAATATGACAAGATGAACTCCACCGTTTCATTTCAAAAGATTGAAATTAACCCTCCAAGAGATACAGAGTTTTTATATTGGGGAGTAGACAAACGTTCTTGGGCACAATTTCTTCGGTTACTAAACCAGAACGAACCATTACCACCAGATGGTCCATTTAAATTTATACTTCCACCAGCAGATTTGACAGTTTATAGAAACGTGTTTGACCCTCAAAATGTTATGTGTCATGCAAGTTTCAGTTCAAGCAACAATAGTTTTCTGTGTATTGGTAAGGACTTTTATGACTTTGCTTCTAAATTCTACGAACCACCTAGTAACAGTTTCTCTGACTTTCAAGTTTGGTTCACAACAAATGGTGTGCAGCATATTATTCCATTGTACTATGACTTTTATCTCGAATTGTCTTTCATATACAACTACGGAAAAGTGCTGAAAAAGTATTGAAAAATAAAGTTTATGTTAGCATGTTAGATCTAACACGTTTTCTAACCACTTTTCTAACATCGTAGAAAACTCATGAAAACAATTTATTTTAAAACTTTCACAAAAAACATAAAAAAGTGAAGTTAAACGTTAAGGTTTACTGAACTGGTTGGATGTCGCCTTCACAGGTTATGTAGAATGGTTGACCCGAGAAGTGAAGGAGACCCTTGAGAATTTGTATAATTCGTGGAATTGGACTCTCTCTGTTTGGAAGTTGTATCCAAGGACGTTTGTTTAGGAACTTAACAAGAGCTTCCTTCTTTGCTTGCTTTATGTCGTCTACAGGAGTGTTTTCTGGTACCTCAATTGGAATTCCGGTTTCAATCTCGAGCTGAAGTGTAGACCTTCCAGAAATAGTGGTGAACTTGACCTTGGGCTTCATGACCTTGCGCAAGTAGTCTTTTACGCAGTCGTTAAGTTCAATTAGGTAAATTGCCTCGTCGGTAGGTTCGACCTCGACCATTGCTACTGTCAGTAAAAGTACTGCTACTGTCAGAAAAAGTACTGCTACTGTCAGTAAAAGTACTGCTACTGTCAGTAAAAGTACTGCTACTGTCAGTAAAAAGGAAAATTTGAGAGGGTTTTCGACGATAAAGTACTGCTACTGTCAGTAAAAGTACTGCTACTGTCAGTAAAAGTACTGCTACTGTCAGTAAAAGTACTGCTACTGTCAGTAAAAGTACTGCTACTGTCAGAAAAAGTACTGCTACTGTCAGTAAAAGTACTGCTACTGTCAGAAAAAGTACTGCTACTGTCAGTAAAAGTACTGCTACTGTCAGTAGCAGTACTGCTAGTAGCAGAGATTTTTATCGTTGTGGTCCGACGGTTAAGCCACAAACGAATGTCCGACGTCCCACCAACCGAGTCCATTCCCAAACCAGAGGAACCTAAAGAACCACAACAGTCTCCTCAGCAACCTCAGTTCCAGCAAGTACCTCCGAATTTCTACCAATTTCCACCTCAAGGTTACTACCCACCACAAGGCTTCCCGAACTACCCTCCTCAGCCTATGCCTTACTTCCCCAACCCTTGGATGTTCCAGCAAGCTCCACCCCAGCAATTCCAATCTCAATCCAAATCGAAGAGAGACCAAGAGTTCGAAGAAGGTCTGAACCGTTTACGCAAAGAGTATGCTACAGCTCCAATTGAGAGAAAGTTGTTCCCGGACCAAAAATATAATTTATGTTAGCATGTTAGATCTCACCCGTTTTTTCACCTGTTTTCTCACCCTCATGAATTTTCATGATTTCATCGTACATGCTTTGTCAAGACTTCTTCGTACATGCTTTGTCAAGACTTCTTCGTACATGTTTTGTCAAGACTTCTTCGTAAATGTTTTGTCAAGACTTCTTCGTAAATGTTTTGTCAAACATGAACGTAAATGTTTTGTCAAACATGAACGTATATGCTTTGTCAAGACTTCTTCGTACATGTTTTGTCAAGACTTCTTCGTACATGTTTTGTCAAGACTTCTTCATCGTAATGAGCGTAAATCAGACAAAAATATATTTTAGGTGAAGTGGTGAGATCTCACCTCTTTTCTCACCTCATGAATTTTCATGATTTCATCGTACATGTTTTGTCAAGACTTCTTCGTACATGCTTTGTCAAGACTTCTTCGTAAATGCTTTGTCAAGACTTCTTCGTAAATGCTTTGTCAAGACTTCTTCGTACATGTTTTGTCAAGACTTCTTCGTAAATGTTTTGTCAAGACTTCTTCGTAAATGTTTTGTCAAGACTTCTTCGTACATGTTTTGTCAAGACTTCTTCGTACATGTTTTGTATATATATATATTTATATAAGAGAGAGATCTGGTGCCAAAAAGTTTGCAACGGTTTAATAATATTTTATGAACCCAACCCGCAGCTTTCTTAATTCCATCCCATAATTTTTTAAAGAATCCTGCCGCCATTTCTGATTTAATATTAATTAAAAAATATATTTCATCACTTATATTCTAATTTTTATTTAATGATAAATGAAACCGATTTTAAAAATAAATGAAACAGAGGAGGGAGAAATAAATGAAAGTGAAAATGTTCAACAAAAAATAAACGTTGTTAAACCAATTACTGAAATAAAAATTTTTTCATCTGTTGAAGAATTTAATGACTATTATGCTAATAATAAAAAATTATTTGAAGAATTGACAACATGTAAATTGAATAAAATGTTTAAAGTTGATGGATTCAAAATTTCAAAAATAAAAGGAGTGGTTAGTTTGAAATCTATTCCTCAATCAAGAATCACCTCATTAATGAAAATAGATGATTTAACAAAAAGAATAGAAATTATTGAAGAAAGAATGAATCAAATAATTGATTTCATAAATTCAAATAATCATTAGTTTCTAATTTCTTTTACTCGTTTATGAGGTCTTTGATTATGACTCCATTGATTCCATTCAGTTATTCAACAATGTTTAATTAATCGCGGAATATCTGACATCATCTATATATAGCTTCTTTTAAAATTAATTTTTTTTATCTTTTATTTCATTATGGGTTGAGTGTAAATGAAAAAAAA